CCAGAAACAGGCTGAACAGTGAAACAGTAACAAGAAAGAAACACTACGACATATGAAATCTTTGGAGGAAATATTTCTTGTGTATGACCGGTTTCCGCACAATGCATACACTCTGTAATAGTCTTAGTACTTGTAATGAAACAAGGAGTTCTGTTTAATAGGTCCCCACCATATCGCACGGTGACCATACTGTGTATCTTGTCTTGGAAGAATGCTGCAAAATTATTTGCAAGTGATGTGAAATCATCGGTTTCAGGAAATCTGTGTTCTGCATTATCTTTAAGCAATTGATTTAGTAGTTTGAAGAGTTCTTTGCTGTTATTTCTGTTATCTTTTTTGACACTGTAGTAGGCACAAAGTTTTCTTTGCACTTCTTAGGGCATAACTGACATTGTTTCTGGCCACCTTGAACATCTGGCGATGAATCTCAAGCTTGCTCTTACGCCATGTCTTCTCGGCAGCCCTAGCCAAAGGTTTGATATGTCGGACCGTGTCATCGTATCAACTGGTATTAGGTCTCATTATGACTGATTGTGTCCTGAATGGTGCATGAGTATCCAAAGTTGTCACAAGACTGTCATTGAAAATTTCACATTTCTTAGCAATATGATTGGTTGTAAGAACATTGGTCACAATGTCACCCTTTTTTATACCATCAACAAATGCATTCACATGAATAGTTCGAGTCTTCCGGTAGGTAAAGCTTTTCCGGACTGGTCCAGGCTTGCCTAGAGCAATTAAGGCATCAATTAAGAAATGGTCTGAGATTTGATGATCAAATACATCCTGAACTGAAATAAAGTCATCAGTGTCTCTGGTAATTTCCAGATCCAACGTATGACCGCGATGATGAGTGGGACACCTGACATGCTGTCGAAGATTGGCTGATGACAATAACTGTAGGAATTGTTGTACAAACTCTTATCACTGTTATCCACATGAATATTGAACTCTCCCACAATAAGGAGATGGCCATGAGCAACAGTTATTGTTTTAAATAGCTGAGATATTTCAGGTATGAACATGTCATTGGTGAGTTTGTTTTTCTTTGAGGGTGGTGTCTATAGAGAGCCAGTAATCTGATCACTTCACTTTTGATGTTGACAGTTCAAACTAAGTGAGACACATGTCCGTGTACAAGAAAGGTTGACTTGTAATTGCTGTATGGCCTTTCTCTTCGTTCCTCTTTGTGTTTGTATGGTCTGTAAAATTGTTCTGTGTGTGTGCTACTGCGTGCGTGCGTGCGCGTGTGTGTGTGTGTTTTATAACGTAGTGGTTATTAACTCGTCATATGCCGAAGGCCAGGGCTCTAACATGTGAGGTCCTTTTAAGGGTACTTATAGTTATTTGTAATCGTGTTTGGTAAGTTTTGTTTGGTTGATTTCTTCCTATTGTTTTTGTCACATAAATCACTTTCATTGCCAGACATTGTCGCAAGTTGCTGTAGTTTCACTTCAAAACATTCTCAAAATTTTCGTATGGTATGCTCGACTGACTGATGCCGTCTCTAAGAGGGCTGACTGTGCATCTTATACAGACTTACAATCCCTTGATTAACAACTCTGTGGTATGGGAAAAGACACAAACGCACATGTTACATGTATTGCTGACATAAAGCGGTAATCAGTTTTCATCAGAGAAACCAATTTGCCAGTATATGAGAAGGCATGTGGTGACTATAAGACAGTTCCCAGAGGGATGAAATGACCCTTCTGATTGGTGCAACATTAAGGGTAAGTCTCCCACCCGAGACAGTAGGGCCCAGAGACATCACACAGACATCACACATTGTAGATCACAAAGAACGCAAAGATGTCATTCGACAATCTGATCAACGACGACTTTTTTCATCGTTTTCAAAACTAGAAATATATGAATTGAATATTAAATGTAAGTAGGAGGAAGCCAAACCCTGGGTTCTGACATACAAATGTTATGTGTGCTAGGAAAGATGGAATCTCAGGGCAGACGTGGTGTGATATAGTACTCTGGGTTGATTCTGATACTGCATTCTTTGCACATTTGCAAAGAACAAAAGTAGCTTATATTTGTTCCTACATTTATATACATGTACATTTCTATGTAACGTCATGGTCATACTGACAGAAATAACAGCAATGGATAGCAATTATTCACTAAACAATACCTTCTCGTAGCAGAAAACTTAAGTTTGCGGTGGTGTTGATCAGCTGTTAGTATTTATTTGTTACGTTCGAATAACGGGATGAAACAAATACGTAAACAGTCTGCTTGTGATGAACAGATAGGATATATCCATACCACACGTAAACAATGTGCTTGTGATGAACAGATAGTATATATCCATACAACACGTAAACAATGTGCTTGGGATGAACAGATAGTATATATCTATACAACACGTAAACAATGTGCTTGGGATGAACAGATAGGATATATCCATACAACACGTAAACAATTTTCTTGGGATGAACAGATAGTATATATCCATACAACACGTAAACAATGTGCTTGTGATGAACAGATAGTATATATCCATACAACACGTAAACAATGTGCTTGGGATGAACAGATAGGATATATCCATACAACACGTAAACAATTTTCTTGGGATGAACAGATAGTATATATCCATACCACACGTAAACAATGTGCTTGGGATGAACAGATAGTATATACCCATACAACACGTAAACAATGTGCTTGGGATGAACAGATAGTATATATCCCTACCACACGTAAACAATGTGCTTGGGTGAACAGATAGTATATATCCCTACCACACGTAAACAATGTGCTTGGGATGAACAGGTAGTATATATCCATACCACACGTAAACAATGTGCTTGAGATGAACAGATAGTATATATCCATACAAGACGTAATCAATGTGCTTGTGATGAACAGATAGTATATATCCATACCACACGTAAACAATGTGCTTGTGATGAACAGATAGTATATATCCCTACCACACGTAAACAATGTGCTTGGGATGAACAGATAGTATATATCCATACAACACGTAAACAATGTGCTTGTGATGAACAGATAGTATATATCCCTACCACACGTAAACAATTTTCTTGTGATGAACAGATAGTATATATCCCTACCACACGTAAACAATGTGCTTGTGATGAACAGATAGTATATATCCCTACCACACGTAAACAATGTGCTTGGGATGAACAGATAGTATATATCCATACCACACGTAAACAATGTGCTTGTGATGAACAGATAAGTATATATCCATACCACACGTAAACAATGTGCTTGGGATGAACAGATAGTATATATCCATACAACACGTAAGAATGTGCTTGGGATGAACAGATAGTATATATCCCTACCACACGTAAACAATGTGCTTGTGATGAACAGATAGTATATATCCCTACCACACGTAAACAATGTGCTTGGGATGAACAGGTAGTATATATCCCTACCACACGTAAACAATGTGCTTGAGATGAACAGATAGTATATATCCATACAAGACGTAATCAATGTGCTTGGGATGAACAGATAGTATATATCCATACCACACGTAAACAATGTGCTTGGGATGAACAGATAGTATATATCCCTACCACACGTAAACAATGTGCTTGTGATGAACAGATAGTATATATCCCTACCACACGTAAACAATGTGCTTGTGATGAACAGATAGTATATATCCATACCACACGTAAACAATGTGCTTGTGATGAACAGATAGTATATATCCCTACCACACGTAAACAATGTGCTTGGGATGAACAGATAGTATATATCCATACCACACGTAAACAATGTGCTTGGGATGAACAGATAGTATATATCCATACCACACGTAAACAATGTGCTTGGGATGAACAGATAGTATATATCCATACAACACGTAAGAATGTGCTTGGGATGAACAGATAGTATATATCCCTACCACACGTAAACAATGTGCTTGTGATGAACAGATAGTATATATCCATACCACACGTAAACAATGTGCTTGGGATGAACAGATAGTATATATCATACCACACGTAAACAATGTGCTTGTGATGAACAGATAGTATATATCCATACCACACGTAAACAATGTGCTTGTGATGAACAGATAGTATATATCCCTACCACACGTAAACAATGTGCTTGGGATGAACAGATAGTATATATCCATACCACACGTAAACAATGTGCTTGGGATGAACAGATAGTATATATCCATACCACACGTAAACAATGTGCTTGGGATGAACAGATAGTATATATCCATACAACACGTAAGAATGTGCTTGGGATGAACAGATAGTATATATCCCTACCACACGTAAACAATGTGCTTGTGATGAACAGATAGTATATATCCCTACCACACGTAAACAATGTGCTTGGGATGAACAGATAGTATATATCCATACCACACGTAAACAATGTGCTTGGGATGAACAGATAGTATATATCCATACAACACGTAAGAATGTGCTTGTGATGAACAGATAGTATATATCCATACCACACGTAAACAATGTGCTTGGGATGAACAGATAGTATATATCCGTACCACACGTAAACAATGTGCTTGTGATGAACAGATAGTATATATCCCTACCACACGTAAACAATGTGCTTGGGATGAACAGATAGTATATATCCATACCACAAGTAAACAATGTGCTTGTGATGAACAGATAGTATATATCCATACCACACGTAAACAATGTGCTTGGGATGAACAGATAGTATATATCCATACCACACGTAAACAATGTGCTTGTGATGAACAGATAGTATATATCCATACCACAAGTAAACAATTTTCTTGTGATGAACAGATAGGATATATCCATACAAGACGTGAACAAGAAGAAGAAGAAGGCGTTTAGTGTATTTAGTCCTCCGGCCCACATACAGAGTATACACTATATACAGAAACTCACACAGTCAGATGTTACATGCACTATTACATCAAGTTCTTCATATGTGCGGAGTCCACTGAAAATCGCTCCCTGTCAGAGTAGTTGGGCTAAATTTAGAATATCGTTTGTGAACCAGAAAGCCTGGTGGGAACTGAGCCATCTCGTGTGCAGCCATTGTTTACCAGGTTGATTACGTTGTATGTGATCTAAGTTTGAGGTGGGTTTTGTTGTTGAAGAAAGTATTTACAGCTGACAGTGTGAGAATATGTATACTTAGCCAAACGACAGAGGAACAACTACACCTTTTCAATTAAAGGTGTACGTGCATCTAAATGACACATCGTTCCTGCATGGATGTAATCAACACGTAATAACTGAACCGTTAACATATGACCGAGAAAGGTTTAGAGAGATCTGAAACATTTATCCACATATCAGCAAACATATTTCAGCACCGCCTATAACTGTACTGAACTATCTGTGGAACAAGTCGGAGATTATGAGGTCATAAAGATGTAATGCATTTTGTAATATGTATTCATACTAGATGTACAGATATATTACAGATACATTACATCACGATGTCGCTTTTGTATGTTTATTGTCCTCTTAGATCGTCAGTGTCAAACCATGGCCGGGAAACCTCTGCTTGTCAGTGACGACTACCATTCATCGTTTGAACCCGAGACATATTTGAGCGCCTACTACAGTGACCCCTCCCCTAACCCAGTAGTGGGCGACATGATGATCTTCGGCCTGACCCAGTTTCAAGAGGCATTTGCGTCGGGTGGGTAAACAGTTTTTCACGGGAGTGTGTGAAGGGGCAATTCCAGGGCTAAATTATCAACTTGTTTGTTTGACTTACTTCACTTTTTGATATCAAGTCGATGTCTGGTGACTCATGGTTCCATAAGGGGCAGCCTCGCCACAACACAAGAGTTACTAACAGGGGATAAACTCAAACACGCCATCTGTGTTACCAGACTAACACATTGTAGCACCTCTGTCTCTCAATGGTTTATAAACCTTTTCCATATGGGAGTGAATCAATGTGATTTGTTTTCACTGTGAGTAAAGATGAGCAAACGCATGATCCTCATCACTTTAGATGAAGGGTCCCTGGACTCCCGTGACGAAACTTTAATATATATTTCCACAGGACACATCAAAGGGAGACTGCTAGATTTTGGTACGGGACCCACGATACACACAATCATCAGCGCGTCGCTACATTGTGAAAGTATCCTGCTGGCGGAGTTCTTACCGCAAAACAGAAACATCCTGAAACAATGGCAGAGTGGAGAACTGAAACATAGTTTTGCCAAATATCTGGATTATGTTCTCAAGCTGGAAGGGAAAGGGTAAGCCATTTCACAATATTCTACATTTCTGTAACAAATGACAAATAATCAGATGCAGTACGCACATTGCTATTCGTTAGATTGTTATTTCGAAATGTCTGCGTTCGAAATTCTAAATGTTAAAGATCCATATCTTACTGCTTCCATGAGCTTCAGTAATATTGTATTACACATGTCAGGGACTCTGTGGCCGATAGAGAAGCTCACATGAGGGGGAAAGTGTCTGGCATAATACCGTGTGACATCCGAAAAGAGAACATCTTTGCCCCATGCTTCATCTCCTCTGTTGATGTCATCACATCCTCCCTGTGCTTGGAATCAGTGGCTCTGAGTATTGCAGACTACGAATGTCAAGCAGCACGACTTGCTTCTGTCCTGAGACCTGGGGGACACCTTGTTCTCTTCGGCTGTGTTGGGGGATCTTTCTATACAGTTGGTAGCAACCGCTTCTCTAGCTTCGGTATGACCAGCTCAGAGCTACAGGCAGCCTGGACAAAAGCTGGTATGGAGATCATAACCTGGAAGGAAGGTCGTCGTCCAAATCCAGAACAGAAGGAGGTGTCTGATATTGATGGATTCTTCACTTTGGTTGCAAGGAAGGAGTAATCGTAAAAACAGAAGTTATTAGATTACCAGATGATAGTTATGAAGACGTCCATTTTAACCAGAAAATGTACGATATACTATTTTGTCTTCATTAAGAAAGAGTTTAAAAACAAAGTACCATCCGTCTATTTCAACATAACGTGTACACTGTTCTGACAGTTTTCAACAGGATTTTCTTGTGTCCATTGTCAATCATGTTTTGTATCATACTGAGACACTGTCAGTGCCGGATTGTTCAAGGTAATAAATTTGGACTCAAATACAATGAGTCAGTTTTCAGAATTTTTTGATAGAACCAGATGACCGAGCCTATCCCCATTTTCAAATAAAATGTTAATAGGTGTAAGAGCACCTTCATGATTTTTTGATCATGCATAGCCATGAGATTCTTTCTTCACTTCGTACTTACAACGTTTCTTGAATATCTGTATAGAGCACACACGGGAGTGACACTGGACAGCAATGTATATAATATGTTTACACACACTTACAGCAGACACGTTATGATGAATAGTGGCACACAGACATTTACGGTACAAAATAATAGATGTTAAAATTTCACAACAATAACACATGTCTAACAACGGTATAACACGTGTCTAACAACGGTATAACACGTGTCTAACAACGGTATAACACGTGTCTAACAACGGTATAACACATGTCTAACAACGGTATAACACATGTCTAACAACGGTATAACACATGTCTAACAACGGTATAACACGTCTAACAATGGTAAAACACGTGTCTAACAACGGTATAACACGTGTCTAACAACGGTATAACACGTGTCTAACAACGGTATAACACGTGTCTAACAACGGTATAACACATGTCTAACAACGGTATAACACGTGTCTAACAACGGTATAACACGTGTCTAACAACGGTATAACACGTGTCTAACAACGGTATAACACGTGTCTAACAACGGTATAACACGTGTCTAACAACGGTATAACACGTCTAACAACGGTATAACACATGTCTAACAACGGTATAACACATGTCTAACAACGGTATATATAACACATGTCTAACAACGGTATAACACATGTCTAACAACGGTATAACACGTGTCTAACAACGGTATAACACATGTCTAACAACGGTATAACACGTGTCTAACAACGGTATAACACATGTCTAACAACGGTATAACACATGTCTAACAACGGTATAACACGTATCAACAACGGTATAACACGTCTAACAACGGTATAACACATGTCTAACAACGGTATAACACATGTCTAACAACGGTATAACACATGTCTAACAACGGTATAACACATGTCTAACAACGGTATAACACGTGTCTAACAACGGTATAACACATGTCTAACAACGGTATAACACGTGTCTAACAACGGTATAACACATGTCTAACAACGGTATAACACGTGTCTAACAACGGTATAACACGTGTCTAACAACGCTATAACACATGTCTAACAACGGTATATGACGTGTCTAACAACGGTATAACACATGTCTAACAACGGTATGCCAGCCTCCAGAAATTCTTCAGGTCGCTAACGTCTACTTCAATACACGTCGCCCACCAATACCGCAAGCAAAAATCCTTTGCCATTGGTGAGGTAAAGCTTCTTCCATGACCTGGCTGTTGACTGGAGGTACGAAACATGTCTGTTCAGGTAGTATTGAGTGGTTCTTGCAGTATGGGATCTCACGTGGTAGTGATGTGGCTGCTGTTACAGAAATGGCAGCATAAGGTGCCGCAAAACGTCGTCTTAGTACCTCTGTGCATAACATTTGCCGTGAATGATGTCTAGCTTCATTCTCACACCGCTTCACAACGCTATATGGTCATTGTGCTCGGATTCCATCTACCTGTGATCGTCTGGATACTCTCTGTCTACTCAAGGCAAACTGTTGCGCAAATAGGGTTGGCAACGTACTTCCCTCGCTTCTGTTCGAAAAATAGTTTTAATATCAAATTAAAATTCGCCATCATCAAAGGTAGACACCAATTTCATGTGGCAATATTGTTTATTTGTACATATGCATCTGGACCGGTGTGGATACAGATACACCCCGTCCTCGCACGGCTTACATTTGGCAATATTGTTTGTTTTTTACACATGCATCTGGACCAGTGTGGATACAGATACGCCCCGTCCTCGCACGGCTTACATCTGTCAATATTGTTTGTTTTTTACAAATGCATCTGGACCAGTGTGGATACAGATACGCCCCGTCCTCGCACGGCTTACATCTGGCAATATTGTTTGTTTTGTACAAATGCATCTGGACCAGTGTGGATACAGATACACCCGTCCTCGCACGACTTTACATCTGGCAATATTGTTTGTTTTAACGAATGCATCTGGACCAGTGTGGATACAGATACGCCCGTCCTCGCACGGCTTACATCTGGCAATGTTGTTTGTTTTTACACATGCATCTGGACCAGTGTGGATACAGATACGCCCGTCCTCGCGACGGCTTACATCTGGCAATATTGTTTGTTTTTACAAATGCATCTGGACCAGTGTGGATACAGATACGCCCGTCCTCGCGACGGCTTACATCTGGCAATATTGTTTGTTTTTTACAAATGCATCTGGACCAGTGTGGATACAGATACACCCCGTCCTCGCACGGGTTACATTTGGCAATATTGTTTGTTTTTTACACATGCATCTGGACCAGTGTGGATACAGATACGCCCGTCCTCGCACGGCTTACATCTGGCAATATTGTTTGTTTTTTACAAATGCATCTGGACCAGTGTGGATACAGATACGCCCCGTCCTCGCACGGCTTACATCTGGCAATATTGTTTGTTTTTACAAATGCATCTGGACCAGTGTGGATACAGATACACCCCGTCCTCGCACGGCTTACATTTGGCAATATTGTTTGTTTTTACAAATGCATCTGGACCAGTGTGGATACAGATACGCCCCGTCCTCGCACGGCTTACATCTGGTAATATTGTTTGTTTTTAACAAATGCATCTGGACCAGTGTGGATACAGATACACCCCGTCCTCGCACGACTTACATCTGGCAATATTGTTTGTTTTTTACAAATGCATCTGGACCACTGTGGATACAGATACACCCCGTCCTCGCACGACTTACATCTGGCAGTATTGTTTGTTTTATACAAATGCATCTGGACCAGTGTGGATACAGATCGCCCGTCCTCGCACGGCTTACATCTGGCAATATTGTTTGTTTTTACAAATGCATCTGGACCAGTGTGGATACAGATACGCCCGTCCTCGCACGGGCTTACATCTGGCAATATTGTTTGTTTTGTACAAATGCATCTGGACCAGTGTGGATACAGATACACCCGCCCTCGCATACGGTTACATTTGGCAATATTGTTTGTTTTTACACATGCATCTGGACCAGTGTGGATACAGATATCGCCCGTCCTCGCACGGCTTACATCTGGCAATATTGTTTGTTTTGTACAAATGCATCTGGACCAGTGTGGATACAGATACGCCCCGTCCTCGCACGACTTACATCTGGCAATATTGTTTGTTTTTAACGAATGCATCTGGACCAGTGTGGATACAGATACGCCCCGTCCTTGCACGGCTTACATCTGGCAATATTGTTTGTTTTTTACACATGCATCTGGACCAGTGTGGATACAGATACGCCCCGTCCTCGCACGGCTTACATCTGGCAATATTGTTTGTTTTTTACAAATGCATCTGGACCAGTGTGGATACAGATACGCCCCGTCCTCGCACGGCTTACATCTGGCAATATTGTTTGTTTTTTACAAATGCATCTGGACCAGTGTGGATACAGATACACCCCGTCCTCGCACGGGTTACATTTGGCAATATTGTTTGTTTTTTACACATGCATCTGGACCAGTGTGGATACAGATACGCCCCGTCCTCGCACGGCTTACATCTGGCAATATTGTTTGTTTTTTACAAATGCATCTGGACCAGTGTGGATACAGATACGCCCCGTCCTCGCACGGCTTACATCTGGCAATATTGTTTGTTTTTACAAATGCATCTGGACCAGTGTGGATACAGATCGCCCGGCCCTCGCACGGCTTACATCTGGCAATATTGTTTGTTTTTACAAATGCATCTGGACCAGTGTGGATACAGATACGCCCGCCCCTCGCCCGCGGCTTACATCTGGTAATATTGTTTGTTTTTAACAAATGCATCTGGACCAGTGTGGATACAGATACACCCCGTCCTCGCACGACTTACATCTGGCAATATTGTTTGTTTTTAACAAATGCATCTGGACCACTGTGGATACAGATACACCCCGTCCTCGCACGACTTACATCTGGCAGTATTGTTTGTTTTGTACAAATGCATCTGGACCAGTGTGGATACAGATACGCCCGTCCTCGCATACGGCTTACATCTGGCAATATTGTTTGTTTTTACAAATGCATCTGGACCAGTGTGGATACAGATACGCCCGTCCTCGCCGGCTTACATTTGGCAATATTGTTTGTTTTGTACAAATGCATCTGGACCAGTGTGGATACAGATACGCCCGTCCTCGCGACGGCTTACATTTGGCAATATTGTTTGGTTTGTACAAATGCATCTGGACCAGTGTGGATACAGATACACCCGTCCCTCGCATCGACTTACATTTGGCAATATTGTTTGTTTTTACAAATGCATCTGGACCAGTGTGGATACAGATACCCGCCCTCATCACACGGCTTACATCTGGCAATATTGTTTGTTTTTACAAATGCATCTGGACCAGTGTGGATACAGATACGCCCGATCCTCGCACGGCTTACATCTGGCAATATTGTTTGTTTTTACAAATGCATCTGGACCAGTGTGGATACAGATACGCCCGCCCTCGCGACGGCTTACATCTGGCAATATTGTTTGTTTTTACAAATGCATCTGGACCAGTGTGGATACAGATACACCCCGCCCCTCGCACGGGTTACATTTGGCAATATTGTTTGTTTTTACACATGCATCTGGACCAGTGTGGATACAGATACGCCCGCCCTCGCACGGCTTACATCTGGCAATATTGTTTGTTTTTACAAATGCATCTGGACCAGTGTGGATACAGATACGCCCGCCCTCGCACGGCTTACATCTGGCAATATTGTTTGTTTTTACAAATGCATCTGGACCAGTGTGGATACAGATACGCCCGATCCTCGCACGACGGCTTACATTTGGCAATATTGTTTGTTTTTACAAATGCATCTGGACCAGTGTGGATACAGATACTCCGTCCCCGCGACGGCTTACATCTGGCAATATTGTTTGTTTTTACAAATGCATCTGGACCAGTGTGGATACAGATACACCCGTCCTCTCGCACGGCTTACATCTGGCAATATTGTTTGTTTTGTACAAATGCATCTGGACCAGTGTGGATACAGATACCCGTCCTCGCATACATCTGGCAATATTGTTTGTTTTTACAAATGCATCTGGACCAGTGTGGATACAGATACGCCCCCCCCTCGCACGGCTTACATCTGGCAATATTGTTTGTTTTGTACAAATGCATCTGGACCAGTGTGGATACAGATATACGCCCGTCCCTCGCACGGCTTACATCTGGCAATATTGTTTGTTTTGTACAAATGCATCTGGACCAGTGTGGATACAGATACGGGCTTACCTGTCCTCGCAGACGGCTTACATTTGGCAATATTGTTTGTTTTTTACAAATGCATCTGGACCAGTGTGGATACAGATACGCCCCGTCCTCGCACGGCTTACATCTGGCAATATTGTTTGTTTTACAAATGCATCTGGACCAGTGTGGATACAGATACGCCCGTCCTCGCCCCTCGCACGGGCTTACATTTGGCAATATTGTTTGTTTTGTACAAATGCATCTGGACCAGTGTGGATACAGATACGCCCCGCCCTCGCGACGGCTTACATTTGGCAATATTGTTTGTTTGTACAAATGCATCTGGACCAGTGTGGATACAGATACGCCCGGCCCTCGCACGACTTACATTTGGCAATATTGTTTGTTTTACAAATGCATCTGGACCAGTGTGGATACAGATACTCGCCCGTCCTCACACGGCTTACATCTGTCAATATTGTTTGTTTTTACAAATGCATCTGGACCAGTGTGGATACAGATACGCCCCGTCCTCGCGACGGCTTACATCTGGCAATATTGTTTGTTTTTACAAATGCATCTGGACCAGTGTGGATACAGATACACCCGTCCTCGCCGCGGGTTACATCTGGCAATATTGTTTGTTTTACACATGCATCTGGACCAGTGTGGATACAGATACGCCCGTCCTCGCACGGCTTACATCTGGCAATATTGTTTGTTTTTTACACATGCATCTGGACCAGTGTGGATACAGATACGCCCCGTCCTCGCACGGCTTACATCTGGCAATATTGTTTGTTTTTTACAAATGCATCTGGACCAGTGTGGATACAGATACACCCCGTCCTCGCACGGGTTACATTTGGCAATATTGTTTGTTTTTTACACATGCATCTGGACCAGTGTGGATACAGATACCCGTCCTCGCCCTCTGGCAATATTGGCTTACATCTGGCAATATTGTTTGTTTTTACAAATGCATCTGGACCAGTGTGGATACAGATACGCCCCGTCCCTCGCATACGGCTTACATTTGGCAATATTGTTTGTTTTACAAATGCATCTGGACCAGTGTGGATACAGATACGCCCGCCCTCGCGACGGCTTACATCTGGTAATATTGTTTGTTTTTAACAAATGCATCTGGACCAGTGTGGATACAGATACACCCCGTCCTCGCACGACTTACATCTGGCAATATTGTTTGTTTTTAACAAATGCATCTGGACCACTGTGGATACAGATACACCCCGTCCTCGCACGACTTACATCTGGCAGTATTGTTTGTTTTGTACAAATGCATCTGGACCAGTGTGGATACAGATACGCCCCGTCCTCGCACGGCTTACATCTGGCAATATTGTTTGTTTTTTACAAATGCATCTGGACCAGTGTGGATACAGATACGCCCCGTCCTCGCTCGGCTTACATTTGGCAATATTGTTTGTTTTGTACAAATGCATCTGGACCAGTGTGGATACAGATACGCCCCGTCCTCGCACGGCTTACATTTGGCAATATTGTTTGGTTTGTACAAATGCATCTGGACCAGTGTGGATACAGATACGCCCCGTCCTCGCACGACTTACATTTGGCAATATTGTTTGTTTTGTACAAATGCATCTGGACCAGTGTGGATACAGATACGCCCCGTCCTCGCACGGCTTACATTTGGCAATATTGTTTGGTTTGTACAAATGCATCTGGACCAGTGTGGATACAGATACGCCCCGTCCTCGCACGACTTACATTTGGCAATATTGTTTGTGTTTTACACATGCATCTGGACCAGTTTGGACACAGATACGGCCCATCCTCGCACAGCTTACATCTGGCAATATTGTTTGTTTTTAACAAATGCATCTGGACCAGTGTGGATACAGATACGCCCCGTCCTCGCACGACTTACATCTGGCAATACTGTTTGTTTGTACATATGCATCAGACCGACGTCGATCCTGTTATTAACTCACTAATTAACCCCCTAGAAGAAAAACAGATATGACAGTCAGTTTATAATTGAAATTCTGAACTTAAATGTACCTTGAACTGAGCTTGAAATAATGTAATTCCAATAATGTGTGTGTGTACACTATTTTAAGTACATGTACCTCAACCGAGAAATTCACTTCGGTGAACACGGATTTCTTTAACGTCTTGTTACTTTGGACACGCGAAAACATTTCTGAATTAATCGTTGAATTATATGTTCATGCATGATGTCTCTGTCATGGGTTCGATCAACATCATCAGAGCAGCCATAGAGACGGAGACCCAGAAAGCATGACGAAGAAATGAACTGATATATACGTCTTTATATATTGTGTATACAATAATTACAGCCATGAGCATCACATTTTGTCAGTCCAGATTTTGAGTAGGTAGAAACGAATATGTACATGAAATGTGGTTTTTCAAGACGTTTCCGTCCATTTATTCACATCAGTCAACAACATTTAGCTAAAACATGAATATAGTTGCAGATTTCATACCCTTGAAAAATATATTAGTGACATCACGTAAACAGGAAATGGGGTACAAAATACAACACATACCACCAAGATCTGCACCCTAGGCGGCTCCACTCAGGCTCGCGCCCCAAGCTTCCACGCTAACCTCGGCGACCCTCCTACTCGTTGCGGCGTGACTCCCCTCCCTTTTCTCAAAGTTTCTTCCCAAAGCCCACAAACCGTTATGATAGAGCGTTTTTTTGCTAAAAAGCAGAACAACCGTTCATGGACAGTTTCTCAAGACCACACTGGCAGTTTCACCGGGAACCAATTTTCTATGAATTTATACAGTTCCATTGGAAACCCATGAATTGTTCATTCGGACAGTTTGTACAGAAATCGGATCCTCCAAATGAGCAGGGTTTTTCACTCTACACGGTATTTACACATCAACACTAACACTAAACATTCAATTTACAAATAGAGTGTGGTCGTCTGGCGAGATGAGACGTATGTCTGCAATGTTATATCAGGGAGACTATATAAAGATTATCCCTGGTTATATAAAGATTATCCCTGGTTATATCCACATCACGTCGGACGTTTATCCTGCTTGTCACATATCCAGGCCATGGACATACTCAGCAGCCACGCATGAGATGCTTGGGTTCTTCCACTGCTGCACTGGTATCAGACGACGAAACACTGGATGCTTTTAGCGACTGAAATCAGGCTCTCCATCTACAGTGGATGTGTGAGAATGTTGGCTGCGAGTGTGTGAGAGGAAAGGTGACGAAAGTCGCACATGTTCGTACTGACGAAACAACAGGAATTTTTCGTTCAGTTCCACTAGCAACGGATCCTAGTATGGCTAAGGGAGGCAACTATTCATTTTGATCAATAGTAAATGGGGGATATTGTGACTGATAATAACATGGAATAAATCAATTGAAATTGATACTGTGAATGCAACAGCTATGAGAACGGTTCAAGATAAAGGATCATTACAAATATTCAGACGATCAAGGAATCTCCTTAAAACAATTGAAATCTTTTCGCAAAACAAAGAAACTTACACTTCGGAAAAGGATTCCAAATATGAACATAGCCATGATTTTCTTATTAGTTAGTTTCAGAATGTATCAACATGCTTATATCTTAATTGTTTTAGAAACGTTACGTGACGATCTGTTTGATTGGCATTTTAGAAGTATGGTGAGTAATAAGAAAGTAAGATTCTTTATGGATAACAACTTCTTTATTATATATAATGCGACGTTTCGGTATAGATTGTTATACCGTTGTCAAGCAAGCGTGAAGTACTACAGCACAGGACGGACTTATATACATCAACAGGGATTAAGTAAAACAACATGTAGGTATGAATCATAAGGATTCATAAGTTATGATGTTGTGGACCTCTTCACTAGGGACCCTATAAATGAAACTCTCCAAATCCTCCGCCGACACATCTCTGAAATAGAACCCCCCCTTGACACTAACCTCACCACTGACTCCATCATCGCCCTGACCTCTGTTTGCATCACCTCCACTTACTTCACCTGGGAGACGACTACTGTGAGCAAATCCATAGCCTGCCCATGGGCTTCCCTCTGTACCCCGTACTCACAGAAATCTACATGAGCTCCTTCGAACAGCAAGCACTTAGCACTTCAACTATCAAATCTACCTGCTGGTACAGGAAGGTCGATGGTACGTTTGTCATTCTACAAGAAGACCAAGATCCAGCAACCCTCCTGCAACACCTCAACCAACAGCACCCCGGACCCAGTTCACCATAGAAACAGAGACGAAACGCCAACTTCCCTTTCTTGATGTCCTTGTAGTCAGAACCCCAGCTAACAAGATTCAAACCAGTGTCTACAGAATGCCAACCCACTCCGAAAATCAGCAGTATCAGACCACAGCATCAACTGTCCTAATCACAACATAATTTGGGACAATGCAGAGATATTATCGAAAGACCTCCAGGACTTCACCAAAAGAAAACTTGCAGAAGCAGTCCAAATCCTCAGACACAAGTCATCAATCAACAGAGATCAAGGATATCTCATCCCATCTGCATACAATGAACTCAGGAAAACAACAGAGCAGAGAATTCTAGCAATCATTGCTAATTAATCCTATCAGCCATGTATATTTTGTTCTGCCTCATGGACAATTGGCTTCCTCCTATTGTCACTGCATTGTTACCACTATCCATCGTTGTTGTTGTTTATCCCCTTGATTCATACCTACATGTTGTTTTACTTAATCACTGTTGATGTATATAAGTCCGTTCTATGCTGTAGTACTTCACCCTTGCTGGACATCGGTATAAGAATCTATACCGAAACGTCGCATCATATATAATAAAGAAGTTGTTATCGATAAATAATCTTACTTTCTTGTTACATAACGACATATATCGTAATGTCTGTCCTCAACGAGTATCATTACATTTGATTGTCCGTTACACTCCGTCGACTTCAGTGATGGACACATCGACTCCGTTTCTGTTTCGTGGCTCGTTGACGGAGACAGAACCTCCCATCTTCTTGCTGATAATAAACAGCACTGCAAGAATGATCTCCACCAGCATCGTCATCACAGCCAACCAGAACGAGAAACCGATGTCGCCAAGCCTTCCACCGGCATTCTTGAGACGTCCGTCACGTCGGTATGACGCCCCGAACACGGCGACGGCAACCAGCCAGAACAAGGCTGCAATGAATCAATACACACTCAGTAGCTGACATCCTGTAATTATCATGACTGTTTTAGTTTAATGTCCCTTCTGTAACAACAAACACCTCCATCATGCTAACAGTCCTGCTCTGAATACTTAGTAAGTTCGATTTAACGCGACTGTGTATTTTAGTTATTTCAGGTCGTGTGAGATCGTTAGAGTAAGCAGGTTACAGAAGGTTACCCCATTGCTTACCAAGGGTCATAATAGGGGAGAACCAAGGGTCAGCGGGTTCTAGGGACCTTAATGGCGCTACTCTGAAAATCCGATTGCGGCCCCTAAAACCACTTGGACACACGTGACCCTTCCGGGTAGCAATGTCCGGAACAAACACATGTACGCCTTGCTGCCAACCATTCTCGATTTCTGTCATGGAAAGTTGAGACGTATATGCTTGTATCAACTTCCAGTACAGGAAACAGTCAAGATAGAGACGAAAGGCCAAGGCATGAAAGAATACTTCACTGTAAATCTAATTGTATAAAAATGAAGTCTTCTCCATATGTTTACTAGTATATCCTAAGACAGGTGGGTCAAAGCTCTACTTAGAGTTCATAGTTTACAGAGTGGATAACAGATAATGTCATTTTTATGACCACATATGTTCAATTTCACATATATTGTGAAGCTTTTCCTTAATGTTGAATGGATACATAACTTCGTCATATTTTGTAGCAAATGTTGTCCAGTTCGGAGAATACAAGTGAAGGGGGAACGAAGTTAATGTACAAATGCTTGATGAATGGGTAACATTTGTTAAACTCAAAGGATTTGCAGGATCTCAGAAAATAACCAAGTTCAAGAACATTGTATGTCAAAACATTTGATTTTATACCTTCGATCGGTAAATATACCGATATCGGTAGATCTCTGTTTTCAAACGTTTAGTACAATTTATTTTAAAAAATCGAAAGAAAACGTCATTTAAAGGTTTTTGAGGAAACAATATGGGCAATGCTGGGACGCGACATTTGGGGAAGAAGTAGGTGTCCAAAGGGCACCAATTGTGATTTTCCGCTCTTTGTTAATCTGCATATGATTCAGAATTAACGCTGTCATTGGCATAATCAAAACAAAATAGGTCCAAGACGTTGTTATTTCAGCTTCAAGTAAATCGATGATCTAGTGCGTATTTAATAATAGTCAAATAGTTATTTCCCTGCCACTGCCACTGATTTACCCATCTGAAGACTTTCATCTGACCACCTGGTGTTCACTAAATAATAGTGATTCAGAAACACGTGATCATGATGCAGTCACAAAGGTACAGCTAACTCAGTTTTAAGCAGATTTGTAGTATACTACCCTGACCCTTCAAATGTGGCCAGTATTACTGACCGGTAAGTAGAGCCACTGCGCCGTTGGACAGATGGAACTGGTTCCTCCAGTCTTTGGCTGCCGACATACGGAGGATGGCGGCCACGAAGGTGAAGTTGACGCCAAGGAAACCCAGGCACGCCATTGCTTGAATAGCAACATGGAAACCTGAAGTGGAAGGGAATATTTCTGAGCCACACGATGTGAAATACCATTTATGTTAACATACTTAAATTGTTCATCACTTACATCCATTAGCGATGGAGTAATGTGATTATACCTCAGGCTTGTCGGTGTTCTGTGATATGTGATTACTTGTGGTAACAACTGTGTCAAACCACTCACTCGCTCTTCCAAAGCATGGAAATGTCTGGTTCGCTTTCAAAAGAGCTACCCTTGCTGCTGGTAGCGGATACGTGAACCCAAGCAAGGAGACCCGCAGCTGCTCGTCGTTCAACTTTACACAACCATGTATTCCAACTGTCCAATCTGTATGTTATTATTGGTGTCCTCCTATTCGTTCGCTTAGAATATACAATGCCTAATCACTTAAAACATAAGTACCATGGCTAAATAGTGATGTAATGCCTACCCAAGATGGTGCCGATGTAGGAGTAGCATGGGGTCACGAGGTCGGACGGACACGACGTCCACAACCCAACACTTCTAAAGGAGTCGCCGAAGACGTCGTCGTATATTTTGCCCCACACAGACGTGCAGAAGGCCGTCCAGTTGAACACCTGGGCTACCAATGCTGTTAAGACGGTTAGTACTCTCAAGACTGACATGACTTCAGAACAAATGTATTCCTCTCGAGGATGCAGTTCTTGAAATCGAAAGGATGGCGGCTCCAGAAGACGACTGTTATGGACGGTCACGTATACAGCTATGAGGAGGATAAAGACAACAACCAATTGTTGTCAACAAACATTGCTACAACAAACCAAGGTAAATATGTACAATGTTTGATGTAGTTGGCCAGGTACAGAGACTTGTGTTGATGTAGTTGGCCAGGTACAGAGACTTGTGTTGATGTTGTTGTCTAGTTTCTTTGGGTGATAACGTGTAGGTGTTGGGATGGTGTAAGATGAAAGAGTCTTGCCTGTCTGATGATTATCATTTGTATTGGTGGTTGAATGAATATAATTAGATCCGGCCATGGGGATATAAATATGTTCCTTTTACTACGTAGATAAACATTTCACGGACCAACAACCACATGAAGTACATGAACATGTATTCATCAGAACAGGTACTTTTTCTAGGGGGTACAATGCGGTTGGAAGTACATATAATGTGTTTAGAGTTTAGAGGGCATGGGGACGATATTAGCAAACTGTGGATTTACATATTAGGATAGTCTGTCGTACAGACCCTGAAGCAAATATATCCAAGAAAGTCCACGCAAGTCTAGAAAATGTGGCAAGTCTAGATATCCTCAGCTTCAGGATGAAGAAAGTCTCAGGGCTCCTTTTCATTATACATGTATTATAATTTGTTTTACTATGAACTTTTTTCAGTAAAATATGTTCCGTTCAGAAACTAGTTGTTAGTCTAATGTTAGGAGAGCCAGAGGGTTAAACGTCATACAGGACCCCGTTCCACCAAACAACCCTCTTTAAGATTGCCCTCAACCACTGTGGCATTAGTGTTATCACTGTTATGGTCACCCTCAACCATTGTAGTGTCAGCATAAGGTTCCCTCAGTCTGAGGTTACACCAGTTCCACAACGCTTCCTTAACTCCATCGCCCTGCAGGCTGGGATCGTGAGGCGGTGTGCTATAACCATTACCAGACAGACTGTTAAAACACCACTTGGATTCCATTGCCTGTTTCTGTCTCCAACTGAAGTGCTCATTTGTATGTCATAGCGTTATGGTCACATATATTTTCTAACCATGAACGAACACGAAATTATCGCAAGCTCATTATACATGTAACTTACTTTTTTGTAATTGCACGAATGTATGTTGTTTGAAACCATGTGTTTGTATCGTTTAGAGCTGTACAGCGGAACAAATTCTGAATACAGTTCTGGAACATGAGCGGTACATCTTCAGGTACCAACTTAGAAGTCACTGACATTGTGAAGATGCTGCTAAAACACCTGATCTCGTTAGTCGCTTAGCATAGGTAGATTTAGTCAACCCGGATCTTCACGGTGTTAAATTTAGTGAAGGTTATTTCCATTAAGTGTTTTATACAATTTATTGCACTCAGAAGCGTTCGCTCGTCACGCCGAAGACCCGGGTTCGAATACCCACATGGGTACAATGTGCGAAGCCCATTTCTGGTGTGCCCCGCCGTGATATTGCTGGAATATTGCTAAAAGCAGCGTAAAACCAAACTCACTCACTCACTCATTGCACTCAGATAATGTCTCCATGTTAAACATAACACTAATCCTTGATTACCGTAGATCCTCTAATAATAGCCTGCCTGTAAGACTTCACATGTATCTTTAACACTCTGTTCATGGAGGATGTTTCAGCCGGTTCTTTTCACTGGTTTACGTCATGGAAAAAGGATACAGATGTACAGTGAGTTGCAGGGCTTCCCCACTCATGTAATATCCTTATGACGAATGTGTGTTAGATCAAGGCGTGCCCTTAAGGTGATGAATACGGGTTACTTTTGGTACCAAACTGACCCACTTTTACGCAGGTGTGTGACCTAAGAATATTCCAGAAGGTGTCACATCACATCACATCAGTTCTAATAAAATATTTCTTTCTACAGTATTTGGAGAAACAACAAGAACACAATAGAATTTGTACACTCTTCAAAAAAAAGAAATGAGTACAGCAGTTCATTCGATATATTTGGACAGCAATCGCCATTAAGACAATTCCCGAGTTTGAATCCCGTTAATCATGTCGTGGTTGTTGTGTGTAGCGTGCAAGCGCATCCCAAAATGTGTTTGTAAACGTTTGTCATAAACAATGAAAACGATACGTGAAAAGTGCATGCAGAAAAAGCTTTCCACGTAATGCACGTGCAATGTGTCTGACACATGAGTAGAGACATCGACTATAAAAGGCTAAACCAAATTCATCATTTTATTACGAAATTTACGACGTACACGGAGATAAAAATAAATGCAAAGATTGAATGCAACTAATCGAAATATCGGCATCGGATGTTTGGAAGAAGGGGTGTCCCAGTCTGCCGTTGAAAAGGCACTTCAACGTCCACCACGGCACCATATCTCGATTATGACATCGATATGCCCGCTTCAGTTCGACCCAAGATTGTCCCAAAAGTGAAAGACCAAGCGTTACCACTCCTGCTCAGGACCGATTCATCCCGGTGTTTCACCTAAGTGACCGATTTGCTACAGCAAATGATTTCCGACCAAACCGTCTGAGAGAAGTGGGAATTTGAGCAGATCAACCAAAAGTTGATCCTGTCCTGACACCACACCAGCAACGACGTGCCCAATGGTGCAACGGGGTACAGGCAATCCGCTTGTGTATACTTAAATACTTTTAATACATTTCCTTTGTTTTGGGCCTATGTGTTTCTGTTTTTGAAAAGTGTATTATGCAATAATTATTGCATACAATTCTTTATGTGTAGTGTATACATTCGCGACAACACAAATCTGTAGAAATTCTATCACAAATACAACATTCTTATTTACAAAAATACTGCTTGCCAACTAAAATCAGTTACTTCACGGTTCAGTGAATTTCTCTAGACAATGCGTATTGTGTTTGAACACAACATAAGCTGGCTTAAGGCATGAACTCATGAAAGGCATGAACGGAGTTTCAGGCAGGTTTCTCACCCTTATTACAAACTTCTACATAACAAGATCTCGGATTATTTCCAAGTAACTCTGATGTAAGACAAGGAAAGAATCCCTCCCCTCTGTTCGCTTTCTTCATAAATGATCTTGAATCCTACTTAGTAAACAGTGGGTGTCAGGGTATACAACTACAGTTCTTTTCAGATTTCTATGTAACTCAACTTGTGATATTATTGTATGGAAAGTCGTCAAACTGTTCTCGTCTAAAACAACGCCTAATCTTAATAATCTTGCTATTGAAAATGTAATATTTAATTACACAAAGATACATTAACTTTGTGTGTGTTTTTTTGCTTTTATCTGCCATCTTGACATGTTAATTTATATGAATATAGTAATTTTGTATTCTCATGTACCACCTTTGGTGGTGTTTTGAGAAAAAAATTGAATTGAATTGAACTGAACACTCAGGCCGCCATGGGTCCTCTTACGAGGCGCGTGCCTGAACATGTTGAACGACTTCATGGTTCAGGGAAATTGTGGACGAATGAATAAGGTATCGTTTTGTAGCTGTGTAAGTGTACCTAGCCAGTCCCTCTATTGTTAGCTACTTCACTATAAAAAAAGATATTTTGTAATAAGGACGTGTCCAGTAACGTAGCCCTGCCTCGCCTCACCTCTTGATAAAACACTCCATTATTAATTCTGTGACTTTTGGGCATTTCAATAGCTGTGAGTTGCCAAGCACTTAAACCGGTAAAGAAGCAACGCGTGCCTGAACGTGTAGGATGACTTCAGTGAATTTGTATAGATACTTGAACACTGAATAGCCTTTTATTGTTCTGACAGACTGTAGCCCTTATTGTGTGAAAAATTGCGTGCACATAACATGAACCCGGTATTATAAGAATTTGAGATTTTATTACTTGGGTTAATTATGGATTTCAAAAATGCTTTTGATTCAATAGATAGATGTAAATTATGGTATAAGTTAGCAAATTAAGGGTTAGTGGGAAGTTATTGCCCGTAATTCTTTCGTTGTGTCTTTAATGTAAGATTTGTGTGACAAAGTATCTGCTAATATCCACACATTGTAGAATTCTGCAGGCTGAATGACTAAAAGTGGAAGTTTTGTTTTCTTTTTATGTAAGTGAAGTTGATGAGTCTTTCCTAGAAGATAAATGTATACCTTATGAGTGTAAATCTTTAAATATGTTTTGTTTATGTAAGATGATGATCTTGTAATATTTTCTGAATCTGTTGTAGTGTTGCAAATACAGTTATATTCATTGTCGGCTTATTCAAATCGTTGGGAACTTGAAGCGAATATTGCTAAAACAAAGCTAATAATTTTAGAAGAGGTGGTAAAGTTAATTCTTCAGACCATTGGTGCTATAATGACAGTGTCCTAGAGGTTGTTGGTTCGTTTACTTACTTAGGAATAGTTTGTTTTTTATTCTGATAATCGATTTTCAAATACTCAGATGCAGTTGTCTGATCAGGGTAGAAAGCCCCTTTTTCCCATTTACCATAATATCATGTTGGTCTCTCTCAATCCTGAATCTCTTTTATTTTTCTTTGATGGTTATGTCGGCAGTACAATAACTTATGCGTCTGAGATGTGGGGGTATAGTAAGGGATTAAATATCGAAAGGTTACATTCGGAGTTTTGTAAAAAAATAAAAAAAGATTGTTAGAGATTAAAAAATCAACATGTAATTCGATGCATGGTTTCTGCAGAATTAGGTCGTTACCTATTATTTCAGAGGCAGTATAACATAATTAAATAAGCTTCTTGTGACTGATAAAAGTATTTTACGTGTTTGTTATGAGTATTTGTATGAGGATGTGGATACCCATGGTGTTAAAACTTGGGCGTATCAGCTTAAATGTATTTTGTCAAGAATTGGATTCAGTGAACAATGGTTAAGGCAGGAATAACCAATATATTATTTATCAGTTATAAACAAAGAATTAATGATCAGGCAATCCACTTTACCTTTAGTCAGTTACACAACTAACAGTCGTCTAGTATCAGTCCTCCAGCAATAGATATACTCAGTATGATACTCACGTAAATACATTTGTCTCATACCTTGTTCTTTCATTTTCTTCTTGTCGTCTGTGACATCACCTAAAGATTCATTGTCATCATTTTCCATTTCAGGACATTTTTTTATCATGTTATTGTTAAACATTTTATCTTGTTATTGCTAAACACCTGACCATAGTAGTCACAGTCTGCCAGATGATGTGGTGTCTTCATAGCAGTGAAGTTGTCTTCTTCTAATTTTCTTTCTAGTCCAACTTGGGGTGTCCCAGGTGGACTCACTGGGAACTTTTCGGGACAACCAGTTTCTTCTTTGGAAATGAGAATGATGCTGAAAGAACAGACCACATTAATCACAAGAAGGCATTGTTGAGAGGATTTCTTCACATGTCTATTCGCTAGGGCGTTCAGAGTCCAAATGAAATGGTTCTGGTCTGTGAACCTCTTTCAAAGAATGGCCGAATGTGTTGGGACGTATTCTGGCAGCATTGCCAATGTGAGATGTTTCAGTGTCTAATCCAAGTATGAGCTTCAAGAGTTCAGATAATTGTTAGGATTACAAAAGGAACACGCTAAAGCTCCTATCTGGTTCTGATTATCTTCTTGCAACATACACGGCACCATATCTCTTAGTTGTGGCACAATGTCTGACATCACTTCTGTACAGCATCCTAGTTTCTTCCACTGGTTTAGGGAGAACAGAATACCCTTTGTAGTAGGTACAACTTTTCCCACTGTAGACTCATTTCCCACTGGCTGAGATCCACACCATGCTCATCCAATGGGGGTGGCATACATGTTAGCCGCCGCCACATGTGCATAAGAACCCGAGGGACCAGACTTCATGACATCTCCTATTTGCTGGAACCCACTGAGGAGCTCCAGCCAGTGTGTCAAGGTGAGCTCAACGTGACGTCAAGTTGGATAACTTCTCCCACTGGAATACATATAATACAGATGCAAATGTTCAGTACGTCATTCCAAGACTTGGCCGCTACATACACGTCAACTCTCAAGTCCAAATGACAACGGGGATCCTGTAACTCTGTTAGATTTTTGTCAGTAGGATCAGGAGTCTCAAGACCCAGTTATTTCATTGCTTCTGTCTCTCCACATTCTTCCAAAGCTTTACAGAAGATGGAGTAAGCTTGGGGCCCCCATCTGTGTCAGGTAGAAGGCAGTTCTCTGACACAGTCAAAGAAGATTTGAGGTTTTTCGATAATATCAGCTTTCATGCAGTGTAAGTAAACTTAGGCTCAGTATTATTCGTTACACTGCTATACTGAGACTCAGTATAGCGTATTCTAATTAAAGCATCAGTCACTGCTATACTGAGTCTCAGTATAGCAGTGTAATGAAAAATACTGAGGCTAAGTTTACTTAGACTGAGCTTTCATGTAACAATTAAGGACTTCAAAATGTACCACGTTTCCTACATGTTGTATAGCTTTCACTAGTCCGGACTGATTCTTCTTTAGACTACCATTGCGAACTGTTTCCATTTTCTATCTTCGAGGGAAACAGCCAACAGAACCAGTAGAGTCAAGAGCATTAGATCAGACTGCTCTCCTTTCGGATGTTTTAATTAGAATAAGTTTTCCAATGTCACAGTTGCCAGTTATATAGACACAGCAGTATAAAAATAACCAATGAGTAAAAGTAGGTGAAATTGGTACCAAAGTAACCTGTATACATCACAAAGGATACAGATGAACACCGAGTTCCGGGGCTCCGCCAATCATGTATTACCCTTTATGATGAATGTGTGTGAAATCAAGGTGTGCCCCAAGGATACAAATGTACAGAGAGTTGCTGTGTTCCTCCACCCATGTATTACCCTTTATGAAGAATGTGTGTTAGATCAAGGTGTGTCCCAAAGGATACAGATGAACTCCGAAGTTGAGGGGGCTCCCCAATCATGTATTATCCTTTGTGATTAATGTGTGTTTAGATCACGGTATGTCCCTCATGAGTTTGTTATTTTGATGAATGACTCTCCTATTGTAATTTTACCCCAAGTTTTTCAAACAATTTAGGTAATCTGAGGCACAGATTGTGAAACATATTTGATTTTTGATAGATTCATAAGCACAGAAAGAAAGTACAGTAAAAGCAAGAAGTTTTAGTGTTGAGAGGCGATGGTCAAAATTTGCTGTGGAATACAATTGTCAATGAGCATGGGGATGTACTCAAACTATGGCCTGATTTACAAGATGGCTCAGTCGCGCCAATGGCCTGATTTACAAGATGGCTTAGTGCAGCCAATGGCCTGATTTACAAGATGGTTCAGTGCAGCCAATGGCCTGATTTACAAGATGGCTCAGTGCATCCAATGGCCTTATTTACAAGATGGCTCAGTGCATCCAATGGCCTGATTTACAAGATGGCTCAGTGTAGCCAATGGCCTGATTTACAAGATGGCTCAGTGCAGCCAATGGCCTTATTTACAAGATGGCTCAGTGTAGCCAATAGCCTGATTTACAAGATGGCTTAGTGCAGCCAATGGCCTGATTTACAAGATTGCTTAGTGCAGCCAATGGCCTGATTTACAAGATGGCTCAGTGCAGCCAATGGCCTGATTTACAAGATGTCTCAGTGCAGCCAATGGCCTGATTTACAAGATGGCTCAGTGCAGCCAATGGCCTGATTTACAAGATGGCTCAGTGTAGCCAATGGCCTGATTTACAAGATGGCTCAGTGCAGCCAATGGCCTGATTTACAAGATGGCTCAGTGCAGCCAATGGCCTGATTTACAAGATGGCTCAGTGCAGTCAATGGCCTGATTTACAAGATGGCTCAGTGCAGCCAATGGCCTGATTTACAAGATGGCTTAGTGCAGCCAATGGCCTGATTTACAAGATGGCTCAGTGCAGCCAATGGCCTGATTTACAAGATGGTTCAGTGCAGCCAATGGCCTGATTTACAAGATGGCTTAGTGCAGCCAATGGCCTGATTTACAAAATAGATTAGTGTAAACAATGGCCTAACATGTAAGATGGCTTAGTATAACCAATGGAATGGCTTTCAAGAGACAGCATCTAAGTGAATGTGGTTATAATTGTACCTCATGAACAAAGGATGATGAGATGGCCAAGCATTGGCACCAGTGGACAGACATGAGTTGCTGTGGTTTGTTTCAAAAACAGTCGAACCAGTGAAGTGGTTGCAGTGAAGCAGCCAGTCAGCATAGCAACATCCCATAAATGATTTCCTTGATTCCTTACTAGAAATATATCACTCTCTCACTCTCACTCTCTCCTCAGTCAATCAGTCAGTCACTCACTCACATTTTGCACACCTCTGGAAAGGTGGACAAATTTGTCGATATTTTGAAGGTTTGAAGTAAGGCACACAAGACAGTGTATCCAAAGTTGGTTGTTTATTAATCAACAAGTGATAATATAATTGTGTTCTGTTCCAGTATCACAGACAGCAACCCCTCTCCTTAACATCAAGCAGTATCCATCATTCTAATGAGTTAAACAGCTGCTACAACTGTCTTGTCACATCTCATCAACCTGGGTATTCCTTGGACAAGTTTTCTATTCTGTATACAAAACATAAAGCTCACTATACAACTGTCTTGTCACATCTCATCAACCTGGGTATTCCTTGGACAAGTTTTTCTATTCTGTATACAAAACATATAGCTCTGTATACAACTGTCTTGTCACATCTCATCAACCTGGGTATTCGTCTTGTCACATCTCATCAACCTGGGTATTCCTTGGACAAGTTTTCTATTCTGTATACAAAACATAAAGCTCACTATACAACTGTGTCTTACAGCAAATGACCACAATGGTAGTGATTGCTATATCCCATCAATTTTAAAGTCCCACATTGTATTCTTACACTGCAAACAAAAGCATATGCAGCATATTCCCCTTTCATGAATCACCAACTAAAAATTATATGACCAGATTTATAGTTTTAACACAAGTGTACATCTAACTAAAAAATAGTAAACTGCACACAAAATGTTAGAACAGGTTTGATGATGAAGTTATACAGTTAAAACATCATTCGTCAATATAAAAGTAAATAAATCAATGCAATATTGCTCTAAACCAATGCCAATACCAGTAAAAACAATGCACTGTAGTCCATGTAAATGTGGGCATCATGAGGTGAAAACACATGAGGACTTCAATGCTACTTCTAGACTAGTCATTTTAATATCTACCTAAACACACCCACATAATACATGAAGCATCTTCAGTCTCAGCTCACCTTCATAAAACTATCTGAATACTTCAATAAGGAATAGCATTGGACATTCATTCCATTATGTCACAGACTCATGATAAATCTCTTTTGATTTCATTTCTTTTGATTACAATTTGCAAAATATAGTTTTCCATCAATCCAGCTAATTGTGTGTAGTTAGTTATTATATCACATTGTCACTACACATAATAATATTATTTCAATAGTCTGACAACATATGATATAGCCTTTGAATCATTGAGTCCAAATTTTCAGCTGTCTACATTTACTCTAAACATTACTGTGCAAGAACACATGATGTAACACTGACACATGTACATTGTGTTACAGTGTTGTCAAGTCTCAGTTAACAACCCCTTGCTATGGTGAACTTCAGGATATAATATTCCTGTATTACCGGCTAGTTCACTACTCAGGTACCCAAGTGCAGCAGAGGCCTGATGGTTCAAACAATGGTAACTCCAAGGAACCTTGGTGTGACTGCCATATAAGTTTCACCTATGTAACTCCAGTGGCCCCAGAGCTAAATTACAGACACATGGTTATGTAGCTCACCTGAATATCAATACATTCTGTCATCCATGTTTACAGTCCGATTGGAATTCTGTAGGAAAATAGATGAACGAGGCCTTTCATACAAAATTTCATATCCATAGCCATTTAGGTTCTTGGTAGGTGTTGAAAATGCAGTAACAGACGTTTTTCAAGGACTGTAGCTTTATAAAAAATCAAGTGCCCAAATTTATTGCTCAGGTGAGCTAAAAATACCTCACTTTGGTCCCGTAGAACTCTTAAACTACAGAAGAACACCTCACATTCTACCTCATTCAAGCAGTTTCGGTAATGTATTTTACACAAAGATGTCTACTACACTGGAATGTGACATTCTGAAATATTTTCCAAAGCATATCAAGCTTGTAAACACACAGAACAGTGCATAATTATTGCATAAATATACAACATCACATATTCCATCTTACACCATGCTCATCTCAACAAAGACAGTCTATATCAAGCTTGTAGAGACAGTTCATGTCCAAATATATCACAGATCAATATCTAATGAAAGGTTACACAAATTAACTATCTGTTCTACACTTATTTATACCCAAAGAGATATAGATGACTTTGTCAAGGTTATTTCAAACCACTAAATTACTTTCTCCTCGCATGTCCTGTAACCGAGCTACAATCTATCATAGACTGTATCATGTCAGAATAAGTGTTACCTGGGTTGATTTCTGATTAATACAAAAAATGCATCAGCTGTTAAATTGGCGTCATTATACCACTACAAAGTCAGGAGGACCCTTCCTTTAATCAATGTTCATTAATTTGAAATAATGAAGAACACATAAATAACTTGTTGTACGCTTATAGGGAGAGTGAAATGGGGATGTATGAGCACTATCAGTTTGTTCACGTCAAACCTGATTCCCAACTGTGTAATACATGAAGGAAGACTGATTATAGAAGTATCACAAAGTTCAGTAAAATATATCTGTACATTCCTCAGTTGAGGACACCAAGTACCTCTGTAGCAGGACAAAACAACATGATTCACATTCTCTCTTAAACAAAATCTTTGTACAAATAATATGCACTTCTAAAAATAGCTTAGGTAATGATCTGATTACCGGTATGTGAAACAGTAATGTATGTGATTAACAGTGTTTACAAACAGTAATGTATGTGATTTACAGTGTTTACAAACAGTAATGTATGTGTTTTACAGCGCTTACAAACAGTAATGTATGTGATTTACAGCGCTTACAAACAGTAATGTATGTGTTTTACAGTGTTTACAAACAGTAATGTATGTGATTTACAGCGTTTACAAACAGTAATGTATTTGATTTACAGTGCTTACAAACAGTAATGTATGTGATTTACAGTGCTTACAAACAGTAATGTATGTGTTTTACAGTGTTTACAAACAGTAATGTATGTGATTTACAGTGTTTAAAAACAGTAATGTATGTGTTTTAAATAGGCAGACATTCTGGCTGGTGTTGAGAAAAAATGATTCATTGGAGGGTTACAAACATACAGTATAGACTAATACAATTCAGATATAATTTTCAAATGCACAAATTGGACAAACTGTAAATGAAAATAATCTTGTTCATAAAACCATTACCCGTTTTACAGAAGTGCCTTGACAAGAAAACTTACAAAAAGATCTGTTACCTTTCAATATGAACTCCTATAAATGTTCTGATGTCTTGTCAACAACCGCTATATAAATGTTCTCATTGATTTAACAAATACAGCTACAAAAACGAGCTGGTATCTTTCCAACTCCCATGAATGTTCTGATTCCTTGTCAACAACAGCTACAGATATGGTCAGGTATCTTTCTATATCAACTCCCATGAATGTTCTGATTCCTTGTCAACAACAGCTACAGATATGGTCAGGTATCTTTCTATATCAACTCCCATGAATGTTCTGATTCCTTGTCAACAACAGCTACAGATATGGTCAGGTATCTTTCTATATCAACTCCCATGAATGTTCTCATTCCTTGTCAACAACAGCTACAGATATGGTCAGGTATCTTTCTATATCAACTCCCATGAATGTTCTGATTCCTTGTCAACAACAGCTACAGATATGGTCAGGTATCTTTCTATATCAACTCCCATGAATGTTCTGATTCCTTGTCAACAACAGCTACAGATATGGTCAGGTATCTTTCTATATCAACTCCCATGAATGTTCTGATTCCTTGTCAACAACAGCTACAGATATGGTCAGGTATCTTTCTATACCAACTCCCATGAATGTTCTGATTCCTTGTCAACAACAGCTACAGATATGGTCAGGTATCTTTCTATATCAACTCCATGAATGTTCTGATTCCTTGTCAACAACAGCTACAGATATGGTCAGGTATCTTTCTATATCAACTCCCATGAATGTTCTGATTCCTTGTCAACAACAGCTACAGATATGGTCAGGTATCTTTCTATATCAACTCCCATGAATGTTCTGATTCCTTGTCAACAACAGCTACAGATATGGTCAGGTATCTTTCTATATCAACTCCATGAATGTTCTGATTCCTTGTCAACAACAGCTACAGATATGGTCAGGTATCTTTCTATATCAACTCCCATGAATGTTCTGATTCCTTGTCAACAACAGCTACAGATATGGTCAGGTATCTTTCTATATCAACTCCCATGAATGTTCTGATTCCTTGTCAACAACAGCTACAGATATGGTCAGGTATCTTTCTATATCAACTCCCATGAATGTTCTGATTCCTTGTCAACAACAGCTACAGATATGGTCAGGTATCTTTCTATATCAACTCCCATGAATGTTCTGATTCCTTGTCAACAACAGCTACAGATATGGTCGGGTATCTTTCTATATCAACTCCCATGAATGTTCTCATTCCTTGTCAACAACAGCTACAGATATGGTCAGGTATCTTTCTATACCAACTCCCATGAATGTTCTGATTCCTTGTCAACAACAGCTACAGATATGGTCAGGTATCTTTCTATATCAACTCCCATGAATGTTCTGATTCCTTGTCAACAACAGCTACAGATATGGTCGGGTATCTTTCTATATCAACTCCCATGAATGTTCTGATTCCTTGTCAACAACAGCTACAGATATGGTCGGGTATCTTTCTATACCAACTCCCATGAATGTTCTGATTCCTTGTCAACAACAGCTACAGATATGGTCAGGTATCTTTCTATATCAACTCCCATGAATGTTCTGATTCCTTGTCAACAACAGCTACAGATATGGTCAGGTATCTTTCTATATCAACTCCCATGAATGTTCTGATTCCTTTGTCAACAACAGCTACAGATATGGTCAGGTATCTTTCTATATCCAACTCCCATGAATGTTCTGATTCCTTGTCAACAACAGCTACAGATATGGTCGGGTATCTTTCTATATCAACTCCCATGAATGTTCTGATTCCTTGTCAACAACAGCTACAGATATGGTCGGGTATCTTTCTATATCAACTCCCATGAATGTTCTGATTCCTTGTCAACAACAGCTACAGATATGGTCAGGTATCTTTCTATACCAACTCCCATGAATGTTCTGATTCCTTGTCAACAACAGCTACAGATATGGTCAGGTATCTTTCTATATCAACTCCCATGAATGTTCTGATTCCTTGTCAACAACAGCTACAGATATGGTCGGGTATCTTTCTATATCAACTCCCATGAATGTTCTGATTCCTTGTCAACAACAGCTACAGATATGGTCAGGTATCTTTCTATATCAACTCCCATGAATGTTCTGATTCCTTGTCAACAACAGCTACAGATATGGTCAGGTATCTTTCTATATCAACTCCCATGAATGTTCTGATTCCTTGTCAACAACAGCTACAGATATGGTCAGGTATCTTTCTATATCAACTCCCATGAATGTTCTGATTCCTTGTCAACAACAGCTACAGATATGGTCGGGTATCTTTCTATATCAACTCCCATGAATGTTCTGATTCCTTGTCAACAACAGCTACAGATATGGTCAGGTATCTTTCTATATCAACTCCCATGAATGTTCTGATTCCTTGTCAACAACAGCTACAGATATGGTCGGGTATCTTTCTATATCAACTCCCATGAATGTTCTGATTCCTTGTCAACAACAGCTACAGATATGGTCAGGTATCTTTCTATACCAACTCCCATGAATGTTCTGATTCCTTGTCAACAACAGCTACAGATATGGTCAGGTATCTTTCTATATCAACTCCCATGAATGTTCTGATTCCTTGTCAACAACAGCTACAGATATGGTCGGGTATCTTTCTATATCAACTCCCATGAATGTTCTGATTCCTTGTCAACAACAGCTACAGATATGGTCAGGTATCTTTCTATATCAACTCCCATGAATGTTCTGATTCCTTGTCAACAACAGCTACAGATATGGTCAGGTATCTTTCTATACCAACTCCATGAATGTTCTGATTCCTTGTCAACAACAGCTACAGATATGGTCAGGTATCTTTCTATATCAACTCCCATGAATGTTCTGATTCCTTGTCAACAACAGCTACAGATATGGTCGGGTATCTTTCTATATCAACTCCATGAATGTTCTGATTCCTTGTCAACAACAGCTACAGATATGGTCGGGTATCTTTCTATATCAACTCCCATGAATGTTCTGATTCCTTGTCAACAACAGCTACAGATATGGTCAGGTATCTTTCTATATCAACTCCCATGAATGTTCTGATTCCTTGTCAACAACAGCTACAGATATGGTCAGGTATCTTTCTATACCAACTCCCATGAATGTTCTGATTCCTTGTCAACAACAGCTACAGATATGGTCAGGTATCTTTCTATATCAACTCCCATGAATGTTCTGATTCCTTGTCAACAACAGCTACAGATATGGTCAGGTATCTTTCTATATCAACTCCCATGAATGTTCTGATTCCTTGTCAACAACAGCTACAGATATGGTCAGGTATCTTTCTATACCAACTCCCATGAATGTTCTGATTCCTTGTCAACAACAGCTACAGATATGGTCAGGTATCTTTCTATATCAACTCCCATGAATGTTCTGATTCCTTGTCAACAACAGCTACAGATATGGTCAGGTATCTTTCTATATCAACTCCCATGAATGTTCTGATTCCTTGTCAACAACAGCTACAGATATGGTCAGGTATCTTTCTATATCAACTCCCATGAATGTTCTGATTCCTTGTCAACAACAGCTACAGATATGGTCGGGTATCTTTCTATATCAACTCCCATGAATGTTCTGATTCCTTGTCAACAACAGCTACAGATATGGTCGGGTATCTTTCTATATCAACTCCCATGAATGTTCTGATTCCTTGTCAACAACAGCTACAGATATGGTCGGGTATCTTTCTATATCAACTCCCATGAATGTTCTGATTCCTTGTCAACAACAGCTACAGATATGGTCAGGTATCTTTCTATATCAACTCCCATGAATGTTCTCATTCCTTGTCAACAACAGCTACAGATATGGTCAGGTATCTTTCTATATCAACTCCCATGAATGTTCTGATTCCTTGTCAACAACAGCTACAGATATGGTCAGGTATCTTTCTATATCAACTCCCATGAATGTTCTGATTCCTTGTCAACAACAGCTACAGATATGGTCAGGTATCTTTCTATATCAACTCCCATGAATGTTCTCATTCCTTGTCAACAACAGCTACAGATATGGTCAGGTATCTTTCTATATCAACTCCCATGAATGTTCTGATTCCTTGTCAACAACAGCTACAGATATGGTCGGGTATCTTTCTATATCAACTCCCATGAATGTTCTGATTCCTTGTCAACAACAGCTACAGATATGGTCAGGTATCTTTCTATACCAACTCCATGAATGTTCTGATTCCTTGTCAACAACAGCTACAGATATGGTCAGGTATCTTTCTATACCAACTCCCATGAATGTTCTGATTCCTTGTCAACAACAGCTACAGATATGGTCAGGTATCTTTCTATATCAACTCCCATGAATGTTCTGATTCCTTGTCAACAACAGCTACAGATATGGTCAGGTATCTTTCTATATCAACTCCCATGAATGTTCTGATTCCTTGTCAACAACAGCTACAGATATGGTCAGGTATCTTTCTATATCAACTCCCATGAATGTTCTGATTCCTTGTCAACAACAGCTATGTACAGGGAGTATATTTTCCATAAACAGCTCTTAATGACTGAAAGTCAATGCAACAGAATATTTCTTATATTTCTGCTACTGATGAATGTTTAGGATTATTTAGAAACAGGCAATTCATGACTGATTTTGATTATGTTAGCTAATTGTTACGACTAAGCTCTGTTTCATTATATATTGACTTAAGGAATTAGGAAAATTGTTATGTTAATTGTTCCTGATTCTGCAGTGATACATTTACATGTTGTGATGAAACATTTCACATGAATTTGAGGCATACCTGTCCAAAGTGACATTTCAGTGTCAAACCCATCATGTTTGTTGGAATCATGGCTTTATTGAGGAGAGTTGTTTTATGAACACCCATAAATTTCATGAACATGTTAATCAATAAATTTAACTCCGCTATCAAATAATCCTAGCAATGGGAAAATCGTGCATGATGAATTTGCTGCATTTCGAAGATAACACTCACTTCTCTGATTCTCAGCTTGAACTATAAATCATTGTTATCATCGGTATTGCAGTATCAAATAGAAGCCTCTATCACTCCTGTCTATTATGCTTGGTGTACGTTGTATCACTGCTGTGTGTACGTTGTATCACTGCTGTGTGAATGTGATCAGGTGTATGTTGAGCTGAAAGACGTGGTGTTGGTTTCATCACAGATGTCCCAGGGAGGTCAACACTTGAAAAGCAGCACCAAGTGTCCAACTCACTTCGATTTTCTGTATCTGTTTTAATACCTAAAAAATGATATACATCTCATACATTATGAAAATCTGAGTCAGTATTTGGGATTTCAATTCCTAACAGTGAGAGGATAGCATTTCAGGAAACCTTCATAAATATTCCAGAAATGTAATATTAGTAGTTAAGCAATTAAGTATACTTAATGGAAATCTTAAGTCGGACTAGGCTTGCTTTATGTTCTTACAGTTACCATAGTTCGGTTTTCATATCTTCATGTTGCCAATATAATCCAGCTAAATCACTTTTCGAGTCAGTTTCCACTGACTCTCTTGTAATGTTTTCAAACTAGCCTCTCCCCATTAACTAGCACACACCGTTTATATATCACAGTTCATACACGATTCCTTCTTTTGGTGTTACCCTGAGTAAGTACTATTACTCCGCATGCCGACATTTCCCTTGCCCTGCCATTACTCACATTGCTTACATCTGAGTGCTATCAAACTTCCCACCTCCACCCACATCAACACCTGTCTTCTTGCATAACTTAACCGCTCTACCTCTACCAGTGTATTGTTCATTGTCATGACATATGCTGTACTTTTAACTCCTATTTTAATCTTAGTTATTAATAAACAATGCCGACTGAAGGCATAACGCCAATGTTTCATGTAGCACAGCCTATGCTAGCTACCCAGTCGGGTAAGTTTATCAGCATTTAGTTTTCCTTCAACATAGTGCTACACCCAATGAGAATCCCCATTGAAGCCAAAACAGTAAAATTTTGAACAATTGATACAGTCCAACACTCAAGGAGGGTTAAATCAAGAGTTATAAAAATTGGAAATATATTATAAAAAATATTCAAGATATCCCACTGTATGTATGCATCATACAGACATTGAAAATAATAGAATATAGAGTGGTTATACAGGTAATTGAAGAAGTACCCTTTTATGAGCAGAGTGGACTAAAAGTTGCCAGTTGATAATGTTGGCAGATGTTATACAGAGAAAGTTGTCCCATGTTACTGCTATGGCTTCAGCAGTGAGCTGTGAACATCCGGGTTCCTCTTTTTTCGGTAAGAGGCAACTAACGACATTGGGTGGTCCTTCTCGCTGACTTGGTTGACACATGCCATCATATCCCAATTGCGTCAATCAGTGCTCATGCTGTTGATCACTGGATTGTTTGGTCCAGATTCGACTACATGTATTTACAGACCACCGTCATATAGCTGGAATATTGCTGTGTGCAATGTTAAATAATAAACCAACAAACGGTTCCAGCAGCTTGCTATGTGTTACTTACATGAATACCAGATTTGAGATCAAGGCCATAGCCATCCTTCAGGAGGGAATATATGTAAGTCAGGTCCATACAAAGAAATGGGTCATCTTTGTCAGGATTACCACAGGCTGAAACAACAAATACATTAAAGCATATGTTCCAGTGAAACTGCTATAATCTCATCCCTCTAGATCACCTGCAAGGCCGTTGCAATACCTGTCGTTAGATCTGCATGAGAATCTTAGGACGCATACACATAGCAAGTATTATCAGGTGAACTTTTAAATCAGCCAATCAGCACTGAGGATTCTTAATTATTGGCACAAGTACAAGAAGCCCTGAGAGAAGCAAACCTGAGTTCTGTATGTTGAAAGCTAAAGAGTGACAAGGAATATAGCAGTGCTATTAAAATGTTGTGGATATGTTCTTAACCATGTCACTTCAGCAGTATGTCATTGACACACATTGTGTGATTGTGGAAATATTCTGTTCTGTGAGGGTTAATAGTTGAACAAAAATAGATTCTGAAGTCAAAGTGGCAAAGAAATAAGGTCAAAAGCTCTCAGAAAGCTAACATCTGATTGGTTCAAGAACCCACACATTCTTTAAGATTACGTAGGCAACGTTCACTAAAGGTTTATCTGATGCAACTGCTAGTGTTCTCTTATCTTGACACAGATAGTTATCCTGTCTGAGACAGTGACATGCCTGAAGAAATACAAGGACTCCGGTACTTCACACCAGAACTGCCTTCAGGCACCAGCTCCAGTGTTCTAACTACCTGTTATAACATACTGAACTCACAACACACTCAGTTAAAAAGAGCAAATGAAGGATCTTGAGTTTTTGTTACATAATGAGTAACGTCAATGACAAAACATCATCATAGTAATAATATCTAGGCTAGTATCAACATCAGCAGACGGTACCTTGTGTAGCAGCTTCCTGGAAATCTTTAAGAAGAACTGAGCCTCCGTTGACTTCATCTGCGAATGCAAAGCAGTACTGATATTCAGTGCTACAGACCACCAGCATCTGTTGAACCCATACTAAGTATACTGGCCAAAACATTTGGAGCTTGTGCTGCTGCCAGGGTCACAGCAGACATGGTTTTATTAAGAAACTTTCGTTGCACTGGCTGAGTTAGGACAGACAAAAACTATTTCCTAATCCAGCTGAGTAATATGTTGGGATTCTGAGTAAGAATATGGATAACAGCATACTTGTCATATGAGGTAACTATATGGACCTGTGGTCAGGCTTGCTGACTTGATTGATTGCATGTCATTGAATCCAATTAGGGCAGATTAATGCTTATGAGGTCAATCACTAGTTTGAACCACATTCAACTAATTATGGACATCATAGAAATTGGATACTGATGAAAGCAAACAACAGTCTCTCAAATCTGATGAGGGAACATGTATTTCCATCCATTTTAAGTAATCTTTATATATCTCTACCTTCTTAAGAAACTTAAATGAAAAAAAATGTCAAAATTTTCCCCCAAGATATGATGCTTCCACAACTCCTTCCTGTACACTGCTGTCTGCTCTGGAGAAAGCTGAACGTTTCAAATCAGAATTTATAAAATGAATGTATAAATGCAGATACTAAATATCCAGATAACTGCATACTCAACCCTTAAAAAATCACATATCCCTAAACTAAACTCCAGTCTCACCTATAAGATTAGAAAACTCCACTTGCTTTCAAATCAAAGAAATAGGAGAAGGCATATATTTCTGGTGTGAACTAAACTCAGTTCACCTATAAGATTAGAATCCACTGTGGCTAAAAGATGAGACTAGTGGTTGAACTGCAGCATAACACTGGGAGTAGTGGTTGACTGCAGCGTGGGAGTAGCCTCAGCCCCCAGCCCCCTGGACAGAAACAATGGGTCATCACAAACTCACTTACTGTCACTAATATCTATACAATTTGAAGGTTTGACAAAACTGAAATAGACATCTCATGTTTACTTTTCCAATATCTAATATTATGTCTGGTCTTCATTTCAGTAGGTTTGAAGTTGTGCATGTTTTGTACAATAAAAAGCGTGCTTTTAAGATTTTCTTGAACCTAAGTGCAAGTAATATGGCTGAAATTTAACATAAAAATTGTCTAGAAAATTCATGAAAATTAACTGCTCAACAAAATGGCTATACTTTGGAGGATATATAAGCTTTCTGAAACCTAGTCCTGGCTGCGCTCTACGCACCTGACATTAAACTTTCTGCCGCCATGATGCACCCAGCTAAACTGGTGGTCTGGAGGCAGACAGGCACTGCGTAGGGTTTCTGATGATGATGAAGCTCCATCTGCAAAGGTGTACATTGTAAAACACCTCCACAACACCTGGTTTCCCAGCAATACAGGCAGGTGTACCATCAATATGCTCAGGTGTACCAGCAATACAGGCAGGTGTACCATCAATATGCTCAGGTGTACCACACACCGTATGATGGACCACAAGGCATGCTGTGGATTACACTGTACTGAACTAGCTTCCCTGCTGTTTACATGTTACAAATATAGTTGGTGATAACTTCCAAACATTGCTAGTATGTATAAACGTTGAATACGTTCTGAGCCTTACACAGAAAGACTTGACCCAGGGGCTATTCAATCTTCCTTGTGTTTACATTTTTAATCAAAACCTTGGAGATGTGTTTTATATGTCAAATGAAAATGAAATAATTTGCTCATTTGACCCAAATGTTTGCGGATATAGATTTGTATGACCTTATGTAATGTCCACAACAAAAGATTTGAACAGGTTTATTGTAAACAACTTCTTTATTCTTTGTGACAGTGTTTCTGGGCTGCTCCTTGCCCCTTCATCAATTGATGGAAATTTTACTATAACACCAAATGCTTCAATGTGAGGCTCAGAAATGTTCAATAACCCCTATAACCTGTGTGCCACATCTCTAATAGTTTACTTCCGATAACTTCAGAGTTCCTTTAGCATGTCAGGAACCAAGGATTCTGGGTTTAAATCAAGTTCAACTTAGCAAACCAATGTTCCACCACTTTGGACTTTCCTTCAGCATACAGCGGACATCATCTAACAAAATACTGTTCCAGCAATGTAAAACAGCATCTGTTTCTGTATTTATAGATGTATTTGTGAATAGTTGATGAATGGCAAGGAGTTACTCCAGACCCTCCACTTACCATCTTCATCCTCTGTCCCTCCCAGTACCCGGAATCTGGCAGACATCAAGCCCAGCCCAAGGTAACTACATATGGGAAGAAAATAGCTATTGTAAGTGACTCAAGATGAAAATGGATCATGTAGCATGACCAGTTGCAAATTCAACAGACTTTTCAGCTGCCAGTATGCAGGAGACAATGGAATACTGACAGGTCAATTCAGAGACAAAAGTATGCCAACGGTGGTAATCTCTGATTTGATACCTCTGACTGACCAATCAATCAGAATCTAGTATTCCCCAAATTCATTGTAAATAAAATATTCAGGATATATCAATTTACTATAGAGAAAACAGTATTCTTTATAAATTGTTCACAAGATGCAAAATTAATCTTTCTAAAATGATTTCAGTAAAATTCTGAAACATAACCGTCTAACAGAAAAAGTAAATCAAAGTTTTATTGCATTTGGTGTTAAATCCATAAAACCCCACAGCTGTTACATTTGGTGAAAGGGAAACAAAGGGAACTTTGAAAGCAAAGAAATATGGGTCGGTTGATTCCTTCTTTATAAAAATACCAACTTGCTTATTGTTGACTATAAGTTGACAAGTTTTACTTGTGCTAAGCGCTATTTTTGACACGTTTTACTTGTGCTAAGCGCAATTTTTGACACGTTTTACTTGTGTTAAGCGCTATTTTTGCTGTGCAATGCAACACCTGTCAGTTGATCAAATGAAATAAATAAATTACTAAGCTTGTAATAAAGAGTTACAGCAATCTGATAAACGTTTTTGTTGTTGATTAATGCATTCATGATTTAGGGCGCGTGAAGCTATCGGTGAACTCCAGTATTATGCACAGTAAACAAGTACACAGTATCCTTTCCCAGACTTCAGGCTAATGTCAAGCTGATAAAATGTGAAATCTGAGATAAATTATGTCCAGACATGATGCTTACCATTTGAATTGTATTTTCTATTCTGTTGAGCATAGTTTTACGAATCTGCAGGGTGAAAGGTTTTCACAAGCATAATTCGATCAAATATGAGAATTGAAGGGGATTCCCTGGTTTTCAACTAGGCATTCCCTGGCTGGTCTGAAGCCCAGTTGGTTGGGTGGATGACACTAACTGGCACCTGGTAATTACTTAGGCTAATCAACATGGTACCTGCTAGACGAGTAAATGTTGGAGTTGTGTTTTTCTCTTTAATGCTGTTTATGTATTATTCAGAAACCATCCATAAGACATTCAGAAATCAAGGTCACTATGTCCAATTCCTGTCAGTCACGATAATCATAAGCTTGTACTCCAAGTACAGGCACAGAATCACATGAGTGGCTGAAGTAATGGCAGTTATAACCATAGAATATCACAGCTTGTACCATGGCTTTGCGGCGGTCTCTTTGATGTTGCCCATGTTGTAACCTGCTAGTTACTACATGGTTTCGCCCTACTGATTCTCATTGGATAATGCTTGCTCCGCCCCCTTTCATGTGCCAAAACTATGATGTCATCGTAAACAGATTTCGCCAGAAGGAAGTTGAGATAAATTGTAGAACATAAAAACAAGTACAATGTTGACAAACTTTAAATTCAACTCCATCGCCTCACCAACTTGTGAAAGTGTAATATCATCAATTTCATCATTCCACTCATTCACGCTATCACTGCTGGGTATGAAAGTTGTTTCCACGTCCTCCATGGTTGAGAATTAATTTTTGAAAACTTGAACGACCTAAGATGCGTGTATGACGTGATATTCATGACGTCATATCGTGCACTCATTTTCCCGCCACTTTGTTTTAACACACCGCCGAAATCTCATGGCACAAGTCTGTTACCCCACCCACAACTCGACGTTCGTCTAGTTACAACACGATTTGTCCTGGCTTTTGATTGACAGGCGAGTGGCATCTCGGCTACCCTCGCTGCCCTACCCGTCAATCAAAAGCCAGGACAAACCGTGTTGTAACTAGACGAACCTCTCGTGTGCCAATGAGGTAACTTTAACTAGTATTCCTGCTACAGTTACCTGTGTGTATATAATGTATAGTTTCTGCTGAATAGATTAGTTCTTGTAATGTAGCTGTCTGGTGCACTTTCAACTGTCTCCTGGAAAATAGGAATACAAATTGACACATGACATTATCAACAGTCTGACTGCATTAGATCTATTTGAAGGGCAAGGCCAAAATTAAGACGCACAGTTCTCACCTGCTGGCATTCATTCCTTCACATACTTACTTCACATTTCATATGATACATGAATTAATGGCAGCATAATTAACACTATTATCTTATAAACATGGTTCAGAGCCATAGTTGGATAACTGAAAGAACATCTTAGCATCTTTAGGAAAACTAGGTTTTAGCATCACAGGCCTTGTGGGTTATTGTAAAAATATACAATTTTACACATGAAAACAAAAACAAGATATATCTTCACATGAACAGCAAACCAATATATTCCAATCACCTTATCTTTTGGCACAAATGTGATCTGTGTAGAACCACCCCCTAAATCTAGGGCTGCAACCATCTCTCCATTTTTGTGAAATGCACCTGAAAATCATACCAACATCACATATATGTGCCATGTTTTCATAAAAGGTAACAATTTTCTAATAATAATCTATATATATATATATATGCACTATCCATCAAAAGTTTAGACTCACTTGAAGCACTCACTATATGTTACGTATATATATGGTTACATCGAAGATGAATTTCTTCACTAACTTGGGGGAAACAACTGCAAACCTTATGCAGATGAATTGCATGAGGATCATGCATCAAATTGCTGAAAAGCATGTGCAAATATCATACATGTGAATTGATGCATTTTGATGTGAAGTTTTGTTAAGAATTCACCAATTTTCACTGAGTTTGATCATATATTGAAATCATTTATTGTATTGACAATAATCTTTTCAACGTTACGAATTTGTTTTCCAATACATCAGTTCCTGTGTAAACAGTACCGTTAACCTTATGGAATATTTTGCAACATTTAGTTCAGAACAGTTGACTGAAGTAAGTGGCTACAGTTACACTAGTGAGTCTAAACTTTTGATGGGTAGTATAGAACAGTTGACTGAAGTAAGTGGCTACAGTTACACTAGTGAGTCTAAACTGTTGATGGGTAGTATAGAACAGTTGACTGAAGTAAGTGGCTACAGTTACACTAGTGAGTCTAAACTTTTGATGGGTAGTATAGAACAGTTGACTGAAGTAAGTGGCTACAGTTACACTAGTGAGTCTAAACTGTTGATGGGTAGTATAGAACAGTTGACTGAAGTAAGTGGCTACAGTTACACTAGTGAGTCTAAACTGTTGATGGGTAGTATAGAACAGTTGACTGAAGTAAGTGGCTACAGTTACACTAGTGAGTCTAAACTTTTGATGGGTAGTATAGAACAGTTGACTGAAGTAAGTGGCTACAGTTACACTAGTGAGTCTAAACTTTTGATGGGTAGTATAGAACAGTTGACTGAAGTAAGTGGCTACAGTTACACTAGTGAGTCTAAACTTTTGATGGGTAGTATAGAACAGTTGACTGAAGTAAGTGGCTACAGTTACACTAGTGAGTCTAAACTTTTGATGGGTAGTATAGAACAGTTGACTGAAGTAAGTGGCTACAGTTACACTAGTGAGTCTAAACTTTTGATGGGTAGTATAGAACAGTTGACTGAAGTAAGTAGCTACAGTTACACTAGTGAGTCTAAACTTTTGATGGGTAGTATAGAACAGTTGACTAAAGTAAGTGGCTACAGTTACACTAGTGAGTCTAAACTTTTGATGGGTAGTATAGAACAGTTGACTGAAGTAAGTGGCTACAGTTACACTAGTGAGTCTAAACTTTTGATGGGTAGTATAGAACAGTTGACTGAAGTAAGTGGCTACAGTTACACTAGTGAGTCTAAACTTTTGATGGGTAGTATAGAACAGTTGACTGAAGTAAGTGGCTACAGTTACACTAGTGAGTCTAAACTTTTGATGGGTAGTATAGAACAGTTGACTGAAGTAAGTGGCTACAGTTACACTAGTGAGTCTAAACTTTTGATGGGTAGTATACATGGAATCTCATAACTATTATCTGAATATATTTCATTAGGGAAGGGCAAGGTAGGATAAGGCCCCTGGGAGTGTGAACTGTTGCTGAAAATTTTGTTATAATGGTAAGAAAGTTATCAAGCTATCAGACATGTTCAAATGAAAGGCTTTTGTCTTTCATACATTTGCAATTCTAGCTTAATCAAGTGCACAAGAATTGCTAAACAAGCCAAAATTCCAGTTCCAGCTATGAAAAATCCTTGACCTAGTTGTGTTTTTTACCTCAAAGCTGTTTTATCTTCAGCTCCTCAGAATATCAGCTGGGTTGAAACTTGCAGTTGTTCAAATAATGAATAAAAGGCCCAGAAAACTTCCAAAATCAGCCTTTTTAATACATTTTACACATGCATCTAATCCTAAACATGCACATGATGAAATCTTGTCATCATCTGTACTAATGTGTCTGATAACAGTTGCTAAAAGTGTTGCTAAAGTCTTCAATTATGTCCACCCTGCTGGCCCATCAGGGGCCTTGTACTACTTTGACCTTTCTCCTTATCAACACGGACACCATTTCTGATTGCATGTATTTTGCGTTCTCCCTCTCAGCATACTGACCCAGACATATGTGTTGAAAGTGTCCAGGGTGCCGTTCCACTAACCGATCTTAGCCCTATGCCAATCGTAAACCCCTAAAATCCCAATCTTAGCGTGACGTTATGATCGGCATACCGTTCCACTAACCAATCTTACCTAAGTCAATCGTAAAGTTAAGATTCAAAGTCTAAGTTGCTCATGACCAACTTAGGATAGCTAAAATCAATCGTAGAGAAACCAAAATGGTGGCTTTCCTATTCTTTGTGAAAAATAAGAGCGAGCATTTCACCGTGAGCGTCCCCTAAAGTCCCCCATGAAATGAATTTGTATATTTCTGTGATGTAAACAAACACTGCACTGAAGCCCTACAAATGTCAGGCCAGTCTGACCACTGTCGTCATGGGAACACAACCGAGCGAGAGTCGGTGTAACACATTTGTACAACAATATTGCAACGTCATGGTTAAGAATAGGGACAGCCGTGAAGTGAACAATGTTCTGAAGCAAAAGATACAAATATGTTTGATTTCACTGCATATTTGGTGTGGGATTCTAAAGACAGGCAGCGTGTTATTCAAGACCACTGACAGATTCTACATCGTTATATATAGCCTCGTCCGCCTTGTTTATTCTGATTGACAAGGTTCAGGCACATATTAAAAGCTCTGACACAATTGACATTTTAAAGTCCAGACTTAAAACCTGTTCTCAGTATATTACTTATAATCTCGGCTGTAAATATTCTCATGTAAATTATCTGTACACAGCGCTTTGAGCATGCCCAAGGATGTGGAATAGGCACTATAAATATGCATTTATTATTATTATATTATGCTTGATACCCAGCGCTTCTCGCACTTGCACCTGAAACCAAGGTGCTCACTACCCTAATATTTTGCTCTAGGTTTTTTCTCCACGTTTACACTTGGTTGGAAAAATACCCGTGAAGGCCCAGGTTAGAATATTGAACTTCAATAACCCATGCCTGTCGTAAGAGGCCACTAACGGGATCGGGTGGTCAGGCTCGCTGACTTGGTTGACACATGTCATCGGTTCCCAACTGCGCAGATCGATGCGCATGCTGTTGATCACTGGATTGTCTGGTTTAGACTCAATTATTTATAGCTAAGATACATAGCGTTCACTAACATGAACGCTCATGCTAGTGGACGCTATGCATCTTAGCTAGATTATTTACAGACCGCCGCCATATAGCTGGACTATTGCTGAGGGCAGCGTAAATCTAAACTCACTCACTCACTCAGTTGGTTCGTAAACTACTTCCATCATTTGCTAGACTATGCAAAGGGAGATAACTCGTGCCTCGCATTCCTCTATCTCTCGCACGAAAGAGTCTCGATCTAAGCTTGGATCGGATCGTAAGATCGGGACCGGCTACGATCGGCCTAAGATCGGTTAGTGGAACGGGTGTAACTTTTAGCTAAGACGATTGTAAAATTGGCGTAACTTGCTAAGATTGATCTTAGTTAAGATCGGTTAGTGGAACGGCACCCAGGCCATTCAAGCACAATTAGCAGGACGACCACGGCGTGTCAGTGACAAACAATATTGAAACCCCCATTGTGTAACCAAATGATTCACATGTTCATGCAAATATATTGTATATTGGAAGTGCCCTGCTCCAACAAGCACACCCTTACAAACTGCTGGACCAATCCTTAATACTTTGTAAGTGCCATACCTACTAATACAGAAAAGTTACATGAAAATCCATACTTCCACATGTGTATGACAGATTTATTAAAGATAACAGCAGCACAGAACAGCTATATAATTGCCTTGTAGCTGTTATTGAAAACGTTTCAGAATAACTGACACGACGTTTATTCACAATGACTCAATCTCTGCTCACCCACAAAACAGTACAGTTTTACTGATATTCCAGTTGTTCCAGTTTTATTCCAATGTCTACTTGCTCAGTGAACTATTTATTACTGATGTTCCGACAACTTCAACACTTTGTAAATGGGTGTTTATCTAGGGAAACATAGCCGCCATTCATTTTGCACTTTATGACAAACAGGTAAATTTACTCAAACAAAGAATTCATGTTCGTTTCTTTCATCTACCAAATTACAACTTAAACAACAATGCTTGTGCGAATGACTGATAAGAGATTATTTCCCTTGTGTTTCCCTAGCCTAGTTGTCAGAGACTAGCATTATACAGCATGTATTGCCAAGGTGGGATATTTACTAACGAGATACTGACTCAACATAACTTGTCAATAACTTACCTTCCAAATAATTCACTGTAACCCAGCTGAATATACCTGAAAAGTTAAGTTTGATTTGGAACACTATCAACAATGATAAAAATTATTAGAATACAACCTCTAACACAAGAGTACCTTTTTCCTGTAACTTGTTTCTGAAACCACAGGTTTCGCTTAAATAAAATATCCAGGGTTTTTCCAAAACTGATAATTGGCTGTCCACTGCACCCTGACACAACTTCCTAGGAAATATGGGCACCTTTGTACATGATCGGTGTCTATAGCCAAGGCTGAGGCCCATACTTTTATGATCTGGGAAGTCTGAAGTGAGTCTAGTTGATCTGAGCCCGGGCTTCTGATCTTTCTTGGCCTTGAAACCCTTTCCCGTATCGTTTGGAATGAGACTTGGGCTTATTTCTGCTGTCCTGTCGGAGATCAACTCCCTAGAGCTTCATCTGTGGACCGGCTTGGGACAGTACATGTGCGGTCCGTAAGTCATGGTCATGGATCCACAATCCAAGTCATAGTGCACCTCTGGGTATACCTCAGCTGAGGTGACAGTAGCAGCCAGTGTGGTCCATGACTCCAACTCCAACCTGGCTCTCTTAGGAGGAGGAGGAAGAAGATCATCGACGTTATCTGGAGATTGCGCTGAAGTGCAATCTTCTAGACCTTCTATCAAATCTAAAAGGCCTTCTCTGCAACAAACTTTGGGTCTGTTGGGCTGATGGACTAATCAGGATCAGATAGGACCTGGGGGATGCCTAGCTCCTCTGAGTCTGGCTGATTATCTATGATAATCTCGGTGTATGCACGCACACAAATTGGAGTCTTGAAGTGCAACTTTCCTTTTGAAAACTTTTGATGTCTCCCCCACGCTTCTGTTACGGAAGATAACTCCTGTGAATAGCTCTTAAAGAAAGACAACACAAAACCATGGACTTTAAATTTTCTATTCAAGCTAAACTGTGGATTCAGAAACAAGTTTCAGGAAAATGGCAACAAGTGTTAGAGGGGTGAATTCATAAGAAATTGAGGTTATACTTATCATAGTTAGAAACAGAGATACCAAGTTCCCATACTGGATTTAGTATGATCATCGCTTAATACATCGCTGATAAACTTACCGCGGTAATACATCTTTAATATACTTAATAGATCATGAGGATATGACTAAGACCACTACCGAATGCACTGACTATATTCGTCTGCTGACAGTACAGTTGTTATCTCATAGTTTACATTTCTTATAATTACCTTTGATAGGTTAAAATACAAACATATTTCACTAGCATGTTTTTCAATATATTATATATATGTGAACAAAAGTGAAATCTAAATCTGTTTAATCACAGACTTATTTCACAGCAGTACATAAAAACCCTTTACCAGGGGTCTTACTTGGTCAGAGGCTGAATGTCATATATACAATACACTTGATCAAAAATGGTAAACTGATTTTCTGATCTGGCTTCATCTGGTTGGGATCCATAAACCAAAATTAAAAGATCTTCCATTTAACAAAACCCTTTTCACTTTCAGTATGACATTATTTAAAATAACCCCTTGTGTTTCAGCTGTATAGAGATCTGACTGCCATGACAATACTGCATGTATGTGATCATTGTTAAGTGAGTTACCTTCCTCTGAGCCACCCAGAATTTCAACACCATGCTCAACTTGGTGGAACATGGTCCTCCTGAACAGATCTGACACCTGTAAACAGGACAAGGGTTACACCATGCACAAACTCCTGACAACAATGATCTGCTTGAACAGGAAAGTCTTGTAGGTTGTGCTGAAGAGACACAGTCGTGTTTAACACTGCTTTCAACACTATTTCAGTTATATCATTATACATATAATCCAGATGATTCATAACATTTGGAACCAAGTAATAACTTTTGCATATATTTTCAATAAACCAAACAGCAATATCCACTAATGGACTATTGTTTAGTGACTGACAAACAACAGAATGGGCAGGGCTGTGCTGCATTGTGTTGACTGGTGTCACTGGTTTTGTGTTTTCTACAGTTTTGTGAGTTAAAGATCAAATAATAAATAACCAATTATATTTGACAGAATAACGTATACCTTCATAACCACAGAAAAGGAACAGAGACCCTTCATATATCAAGTAAAATTGACTGATCTGAGTAACAATGACTTTACCACTGTTTGAAACTCTAAATCATGGAATAATTTTCATAGCACACTGAAGTTTGGATAGAGACACTACATAGGGTTAATGACTCACAAACGTACTGAAAGAACAAACTTCAAGCAAATAAGGAATGCTAAATGAAAGATGTGAGGGCAAAATTGCATTTCTTTTCTGGTCTGACATCAGCTACTTGTTGTCATTTATGCTTTAACCTACTTTCTCCGCACATAATGACTCACTATTCATAAAACAAAAATTTAAGTATTTGTGATTGCAGAAGTAGGTACAGGGACAGAGTCTCACCTCACTGAACAGATTTTCACCTCATTGAACATAGTTTCACTACATTAAACATAGTTTCACTTCATTTAAAACCTATTACCTCATTTAACAAATGGTCTGCCACTCCATTAGGCAGTAGTCTGAGTCCTGCTGTGGCTTTGAGGACGATGGGAGTTTGTGACTGGAGTTTAGCTGGCACCTCTACTATGGCAGACTCCAGCATATTGTGCAGGCTCTCTGCACCCTGTGGATGAGCACAGAGCATCAGCGTGAAGGATGTCAACCATACGTGAAGAAGCTAATGAAACAAGTCATACTAAGTGGTAGTCAGAAACTTCTTAAAAGCTGTGTTTAAAACTCCCAAAATTCCAAGCCAGACAGCCGGACTGGTAACTTTAAAAATTTACCAGTCCGGATGCAAACTTGCCTGTCTGGTTTTCAACAATAAAAAAACAAAACAAATCAGGTTTCTGAATACTTGACTGTTTGTAGGCATCGCAATGAACTACACAGCATTAACAGGCAATGCACCGAGTTTAGGTAAACTGAAAGTACACATGTTGTGATTGGTTATTGAAACATGAACTGTCCAATCGTAAGTAGTTTAACATAATTTTAATAATACATGTACCTTAAACATCTCAAACTGATGACAATAGAACCTGTCGGACATTATGAAATATTTACCGTAAAAAATTGTAAAATGGTAAAATTATCTACCAGACCACTGAACAGGCTACTTTTGAAATTTGACCATCCGAGATGAAAATATAACGTTCCGGACGGTCGGGCAGGCGGGAATTTTAAACGCTGTTAAAAGGACACAGAAGTGTGAATATTGTTAAGTGTGAATGCAGGTCTCACCTTGTGAGGATCAGCACTGTAATTGGATAGGCCGGGTTTCACTTGTTGAAATGTCTCATGCACCAACTCTACATTCCACTCTGGAACATGGACACAGTGCTGCTATAGACACAATCAACATGCATACCAGTCTCTGACGTAAACCACTAGTCTGAAGTCAGGGTTCAGTGATACATGAAAGTGCTAGGATAAGGCCCTTCTTGACCTAATGGAGATGTCAATTTTCCAGTTGCAGAAAAGTTTGAAATATGATGTATTGGTTTGCAAATTATCAGACATAATCCTACAAGTGCACGCATGTGAGTGTGTGGCTGTTTGTAATAGTCCTGACTAATGGGAACATCATAGTGCTTTCCTTATGAGATGCCATGCCTCAGTTTTAACATTGGTATATCATAGAAACATCACAGTAACTAGCCCTAGCTATATCCCTGAGAGCCAGGCAGGGCAACACCAAAGTACCATCTTTTAATGTCTTTTGGTATGATATGACCCAGGATGGAACCATCAACTTTTCTCACTCTTGCCAACTCTATCCACTAGACCATGCTGATGCTGCATTAGCTTCATTGGTGAAACATGTTAACGTTTCTGGAGTTGAAACACACATCTTCGACTCAGACCCCTGACAAGCAGAACCTGCATTGCCTGAAGGACACAACTCATGGCATATTGCCTTGGTCAAGATACAGAGACATACTTATTACACTGTTCTACCACTTACCCTGTTTTTTCCTGAAGTGATATACATGCATTCTGGAGCCTGTGCTCCCAGCATCAAATATAACAGCATATACATTCCTGGAGCTGTTCACATCCATGCCGAACTCAGTTTGACTGTAGGGGCCTGTTCCCAGGGAATATTCGCTGTTTCCTATTTGCTCCCCAAGGGTCAGGATTATCGCTTGGTAGGAGGCAAACACTCCAAACATCAGCCCTACCATTGTAGATGCCATTGCACAATGTCTATTCAAATGAATCCTTTGGCCCAAAATAGACAGTCTTGTTGGTAGACATATCTGAAAGAGAAACATTTTGCCTGTCTATAAGAACAGATGTTGCCAAAATTATATTAATGTAATGTATTGAAAATATTAAGGTAATGAAGTAAATATTAATGTAGTGTGTGAAATATATCAAAGTAATATACCAACCTAAGTGGGGAAAGAGTCATATATTTGATGAAGACTCTACCCAGGGCCATATGTGACCACAGCAGTGTTACTGGTGATACTGGCTGGAATACAGTGACAAATGCCTATACTGAACCGGGAGTGTCAGGGCAAATATCCCTGACTGGTACATCTCCAGGTTAGTAGGATAAACACCCTGGAGACATTCACTACCACAGATCTGTTTTGACAGTGACACGTTCTTCTATCATGAAAGTCATTGGACTGGGTGACTATTATTGCTGTGTGTACCATTCGATTAAGGTTCCAAACAAAGCTTTGGTTGTGAATGGGTACATATCACAATAGAACTGAAATATTACACTTGATAATTGAGGATGGAACAACTCCATTTGTACAAAATCACTTAAAACAAGGTAATCATTATTGGTGGATCAATTTTCTAGCCAAAGTTTGAAAAGTTCATGACAGTGCATGATATTGTAGAGGTTATCACTGTACTGACTCCAGGTAGTAACACAGATACTAGTTCAGCTGCCTCCTTGACGTGATGGATTGAGTGTCTGCCCAGAGAGCAGTAGGTTGGTGGTTCTTCAGGACACCATTAACCCATATCCATACCAGCACTACTTAACTAATGTAGGGGCAAAAGAATATCAATGTATGAATACCATAACACAGCAAGGCACTGCTAATACACTGACATAATAAAAACTAATTGCAAGAAAACAATCACATTTGTGGATATCCAGTCAACAGGTTTCTCAAAGCTCTGAAGAAACATCCTTCTTGCTTCTTGCCGAGACAGACGTTGATGTGTTAACCTCACACTACTCTTCCCACTTGCATCTACACATGGATGTAGCCTAGCCTCAGCAAGTATTACACCACATACAGTGTCATCGACGTGCTATCACTGCCATATTTAAACTACTATTGATAAAATCTGTTCAAATTGTTCCAACTTTGAAGATAACAATGCTGCTCCACCTGTGACCTGCCTGGCTGTGGCCCTAAATCCTTGTCAAGGACATCAGGCATTTACTTTGAATGAAACATGTTGTCTGCATCTTGTATGGTAATGGCTCACAATATCACTTTACTGGGTAGTTAAAGGAAAAGCTATTTCCAGTGATAATTTGTCTATTTAAAGGGCCACTGATCCAGAGCGATTAATGTTTCCAGCCAACAGTCTAACTACGAAACCTAGCTGCAAACTGGTGAGCTCCTGCTCCCTCGACCATGACGGACATGGGGACATTAGGAAGGGTGGCTGCCCATCAGATGCCGTTATTTGAAAATATCCCCGGTAGTTCTTGTATGATTGTAATAAAGTATCCCAGCAGTGTAGGCTTTTTCAGATTTTCAAATGTTTCGATGGTATAGTGACTGATCCAATTTGATCCTATTTCTGTGTTTTTTACCTCTATATTTAATCATGTAAAAAATATTAGTCTATTACGTATGCTATGATATCAAAAACACACATTTGATATATTTGAATCCATAAACTAAACAACCCCACTTTGCCATTGCAAAAAAAAAATCTGAAATTTTACTTAGGTACATAGGTATATACAGTTTTTAACTAAGTACACAGCAAATGCTTATATATATTTCTTATGTAACAATGAAGTTCCGTTCGTATCCTCGAAAAAGTGTCGGCCCATAAGTTTTTTTTCAGGCAATCAAACATGCATGCAATACAGCGGTTACTCTCTCGCTGTAACACCTTCTTTGGTGGTAAACCTACACATGTTATTTGTCATCATTCACTTGATGGTCAGTTAATGAATTTATAACAGGTATATTTAGTGATAACACCACTCAGATTACCCGACAAAGGTTGCCATTTGGCATTTCTTGTGTCTGGAGTAAAAAATCATCATTATAAATTGAGGTCTGATGGGGCAAATGTATTACATCTTATGCCAGGAAGTGCAGTAAGAGGAATTATCAGCTGAGTTACAAAACAAACATCAATCAAAGGATTAACCGATAACACGCTGATTGATTAATTGCTTTTAACCTGCACAGCGGATTTGTCAAAAGGTAGTGTTTATGTATGTAGATTTACTAATCTACAATGTATAATGAATACACCCTGTCGTAAAGTCTCTTTGTAAAAACAACGTCCTTCCTTCCAAGGATTAACCGCCAATACATTGATTGATTGCTCATGATTGGCTTAACTAAATTACTTTATTAAAGAATGACAGACATTCATGCAATTAGTTGCCAGGTGTGCTATCTTGGGTGACCAATGGGACGATACGCGATACACCAATGTGAAAAACCTGAAACGATAGATAACTCTCGCATATTAGACTGTTAAGACACATGACATGGAACAGGATATTTTGTCAGCTGCAGATGAATGGCATCTCATTCCTTTATGTGGATATTAATGGATACATTCCCCGAACAAGGAAATAGCCTAATATTGTTGCTATAACTTTAGTCTGTCTTAATTTTAATATTTGCATTTTGTTTTTATTTATTTGTTATGGCATTCCACAGAATCATTTTTTTTATCTCAGAAACACTGTAATGGGCTTATCCAGCTGGCGTCCAAAGAAACAGGATCGAAGACCTACAGTAGAAGTGTACAGAATCATTTTTTTCCGAGAAGTGTAATGAGACAGACAAGATACACTAGGTCGTACTTAGGGCGTGTGTGTGAAATATGATACACGTTGGCAATCTATAAGATGTCTAGATATTACAATCATGTTATAAATTCACTAAGTATACGCAGATCGTGTGCATTTTATTAAGTTTCCAAAAGCATGTACAAATATGATAATAAACTAATTAGGATTATAAGAAAAAATATAAAAACGTACGTTGACTTCGTTATTTCAGTCCTAACATTTTTTACCACTGGCAGATGGTTAAACTTAAAATGTTTTCATTTGTTATCAAAATAATGCCATTTAATACAACATTCAGATTGACTAGTAGTGAACCCAAGCTCACTACTCTCCCCAAGACTCCCCATGTACTTAGTTAGCCTTACTTTCAAAACAATGCTATTATATCAGGCTTCTCACCAAATTCAAGGTCAAACTATATCAAATTCTACTTCTATTTACGTTAACATTTTTATAAAGTCAACATTACTATGAAATCAAAATTTTACATCAAAATCAGCATTTTTATCAAAGTGAATATTTTTTTATAAGAAACCAAATTATTCATCAAAGTCTACATAATTTTACAACAAAATCAACATAAGATTATCGAGTAAAAAAGATTTCATCTTTGTTGATCAGTCTATACTTGTACTATCAATTGAGCATGAGGGTGGCACAGCAGAGGTAACGAACCAGTCATGAATTCTGGGATATCACCCGGGTACTCACTGGTGAAAAATAAAAACAAAAGCAACAACCAGTCCACGGAAATTGCTCTGGATCAGTGGCCCTTTAAGAAAGACATCTGCTCATAGCATATGTCTGTCTAAGGCATGCATCCCTTCCATACAGGCATCTATTCCAATATTTATGGTAGAACAGATTTATGTTATTATGTTTAACTTACTGTTGGAAAGGGATGTATATCTATGCTTATCTCTTCATAAATAGACTCGTGAAGATCCGGGTTAGAATTGGTCTTCAGCAACCCATGCTTTTTCGTAAGAGGTGACTAACGGAATCGGGTGGTCAGGCTCACTGACTTGGTTGACACATGTCATCATATCCCAGTTGTGTAGATTGATGTTCATGCTGTTGATCACTGGATTGTCTGGTTCAGACTCGATTATTTACAGACTGTCGCCATATAGCTGGAATATTGGTGAGTGTGGTGTTAAACAACAACCAAACCAACCAATTCTTCCAAATATACATGACATATAGAAACTGAACCTCCCAAGTGGGGATTCTGGGTGAGAACTGGTCCCAAGCAATGTATGCCTGCAGCTGAATGAACTGGTCAGGGTTTGTGACAGTTTACTGTCATGGAGTAGATCATGGCTAATACTATAAACTAAGGATTCTCAGGTCCAGACCTGCTTCTTTACAGGCCACCATCTAGTCTGTCTCACAGTCACTGAACCACATTATTATCGCTGAAGGGGTCGTTGTCGGCACGGGTACTACAGATATGTATCCCAGGTACGTTTCTGTAAACAGAAACGTACCTTGGCCATAATGAGAATACAGGAACATACCCTAGGACGATTCCATTCCCATCGTGTCGTATTCTTGATCGGAACTGTCATACTGTTGTATTAGGTACATTTGATTGCGTTATGTAACTTGTGTAAGTAATGAGAATAACAGTAAAGGAAATTTTGTGATGCACATGAATACCACTCGGAATCAGTTGAACGGGAACAACTATATACGGTTTCGGTTTTGGATCGCGGAATATGGACTCGTCCGCCTTTTAGGGTACCGGGTAGGTTTCTGTATCATGACTTTGTTTAGGGTACATATCTGTATACAGAAACGTACCTGGGGTACGTATCTGTAGTACCTGTGCCGACAACGACCCCTTCAGCATTATTTTCCCTAATGCCAAGCTCTCTCTGCAGTGCTAAAGCCCTAAATAAGGCAAGTCTAGATTTCCTCAGGTCTCTGGTCTCCTGGGGCTCCTTTTCAATTTAAATGGGCTTGTTTGTTACTATCAAAATGATATATATTCAGAGACTAAGCATTAGTCTAGCCACCATCTTATAACCTGGAACACTGCTGACAGCAGCACCAGCAACAAACAAAAGCCACTGACCCATATCTCAGTGTGGACTGCTGCACAGATGTGGCAAGGTGTGGTGCTGCATGGATGGTGTTCAGTTCCTGGTTAGGTTCATGGTGATTAATGAATTTATCACACTCATGGCTTGGGGTTGAAATGATATCAGATCTATATCAATATTTGAGACTGATCTGCTTGGTTTACCAATTTGATCTGTTCATTAGTGTGAGATTTAGGTGAGAAGAAATGGGGTACAACAATGTGGTTTTTGATATAAGGTTATCAATGATGACCAACAAACCACTACAATTCTATTATCATGTGTCATCAATACTCACTACTTTTTGGTAACTGGAATGTGGGATACTGTGCATTGTGTTGGGGGACATATCTATTTACTAACATATATGATTAGCGTATGAAAGGTCCCTGGAATTTCTAAATCTATCTATTTTTTCCCAGTGATTTCCAGCCATTTAAACAAATCATGAGAGCAACACAGTTGAACAGTTTTTAATGTGCTGACAGACCAGTGATCAGTGCCAGACTGGGAGTCAGACCTCTGTGTATGTATCACTGAAGGAAATGACACACTTTGTATATAGAAATACACTGCTGATAGGACTACACGTTTCGAATAACATTATCAGGAATTGCACATAATCAAGAGGACATATGGTAGAAGATCATATATTGCTCTGTTAGCCCGGACGGGGTTTTGGTTAACACGTGTGCAAGGAATAAAAATACCTGTAACATAAATGCAGACAGAAATACAGGTTCACGTGTACTGTAACTGGACAAGAATAAGTATACAATGGTGATAGCACTACATTTAAAAAAAGTCTAACTGAGCAACAAACATTGAAAAGCAACTTAAGAATATAACTGTATGACTCCTTTGAAATCGTGGTCTTCAACCTGCCTAACATTACCACCTAGGACTCACTGGCTGCCATGAGACAATTTGATGTGGCTAACATGACTGAGAGGGACATATTTCAGAACACTGAGTGGTTAATCATGATCCTTGGAGATTACCAAAGGGTTGTTCTAATTATTTCCTTCCACCTAGACCTATGTTACACAGTGTCAAACGTTAGTGTTTATGTTTTCAGGTGTACTGATGCGGACAAAATACACCCATATTTTGAAGAAAGTGGGGGTGTAAACCCAACATATTTTGTTCAAATGATTAGCTGATAATAGGTCAATTGATCACTCATTGTTTTCTATTTTTCAAATAACTTTGGACAACATGAAACTAGTTGTGATGTGTGCTATCTCAGATGCCAAATGACACTATACACTTATGTAAAACACCTGAAACAAACTAGTTGTGATGTGTGCTATCTCAGCTGCCAAATGACACTATACACTTATGTAAAACACCTGAAACAAACTAGTTGTGATGTGTGCTATCTCAGCTGCCAAATGACACTATACACTTATGTAAAACACCTGAAACAAACTAGTTGTGATGTGTGCTATCTCAGCTGCCAAATGACACTATACACTTATGTAAAACACCTGAAACAAACTAGTT